ATATGCATGACACAAATATGAAGTGCCTGTGCACTGAAAAATTATATTATTAAAAAAAAAAAAAAGAGGAATTTCTGGGATGTAAACCCGCACCAGTATGATGTAAAGACTAGCGCACTACCACTACACTATAAAGCCTCATTGAAAATACTCATTGTGGTCAATAAGTATTACTGTATTATCCATACACACATGACTTATCTATCCTGAAGTGCAATGATCCATGTTATATTTACAACGGTTCCGAAATAAATAAACTTCAACAGTACATGATAACTAGAACTGTGTCCAAAGGACACGGATGCCCCCACTGACAACATATATATGGTATATAGTGAAAAAATCAACAAAGGGCCATAATTCTGTTAAATTTGGTAGCAGCAAAAATTCCTTCCTTTACTACCATCTACACATTAAGGTTGTTCATCCCTGGAAGTTTAAGCAAACTCTGCCATCTGGTTTAAGAGGAGTTGCGTTCACAAAATTTCTACATAGTATATAGTTAAAAAAATCAACAAAGGGCCATAATTCTATTAAATTTGGTCGCAGCAAAAATTCCTTCCTTTACTACCATCTACACATTAAGGTTGTTCATCCCTGGATGTTTAAGCAAAATCTGCCATCCAGTTTAAGAGGAGTTGCGTTCACAAGATTTCGGGACGTACGTACGACGGACAGACGTACGTACGGACGGAAGGAAGTGTGGACAGACAGAGGGACGGACAAGTGCAACGCTATATGCACCCCACTTTGTGGGGGCATAAAAATTCAGGTCAATATTAGAGGCTATAATGTGTCAAAGAGTACTATCTGGACATGCCAATTAGATGCAAATTGCCTTTTTTGTATTGATGGTTCCCACACTTTTGTTGAAATCAATCCAGCAGTTGCAAAGAAATAGCAATATTGCTCTATATGCATACTACATAACTAATCAAGGGCCATAACTCTGTGATAAAGGGTCAGACCGAAACAAGGCAACAATATGCCCATCACCTCTTGGTATTTATGGTTCCATTAAAGTTTCATTGAATTTCTGCCAGTAGTTGCAGAGAAATAGAACGGAAACAATTATTGCTCTAAATAAATACTTCATAACTAATCAAGACAATATGTGCAGCTCCTCTTGGTATTGATGGTTACCATAAAGTTTCATTGAATTCCTGCCAGCAGTTGTAGAGAAGTAGCGCAGAAGTGATTATTGCTCTTTTTGCACAATGAAGGGCCATAACTCTGTGTTGAAGAGTCTGACCAGAACAAGGCAATGATATGCGCATCTCCTCTTGGTATTGATGGTTCCCATATAGTTTTGTGAATTCCAACCAATAGTTGCAGAGAACTACCACAGAAACGAAATTCTGACTGATGGACAGAAAGACAGATGGAAGGACGGACAAGGCCAAAACATATTTTCCTCATGATTCCATCTACAGGGGGATAATAAACAAGAGCTGTCACAGGAGACAACGAAGCTCAACTAATAAAATACTGGACGCAGTAAGAAGATAAAACTATGAAAAATAATCAATTATGATATAAATATTTTCCTACTTATGACAAGAAGTTATAGTTGTAAACATAAATTCCAATTTCAAGGGGAAAAAAATCTGGAAATAGTCACACTAGAGTAATGGACCTTGTCACACAACATGTGTGTAATAATAAGAAATATATATTTAAAATAAAAAAATCTAAGTAAAAGGGGAGATAATTCTTGCAATATTGGTGCTAGAGTTATGAAGCTTGTCACTTGGTTAATGATAAGGAACATATATTTGAAGTAATAAGTTGATTCATTAAGAAATAAAGAAGTAGCAGTAAAAAATAATGTTTTTTAAGGAAAATTCTCAGTTCAAAGGGAGATACATGTATATCTGAAAATATTGGTGCTAGAGTTATGAACCTTGTCACATAAGATGTGGTTAATGATAAGGAACATATATTTGAAATATAAAGATGATTCCTTAAGAAATAAAGAAGTAACAGTAAAATTTAATATTTTTTAAGAAAAATTCTAAGTTCAAGGGGAGATAAATCTGAAAATATTGGTGCTAAAGTTATGAACCTTGTCACATAAGATACGGTTGATAATAAGGAACATTATAATATTTGAAGTTTGAAGTTGATATCTTAAGAAATCAAAAAGTTAAAGTAAAAAATATTTTACTGCACCAAAACTTTAATCTGAAATCTGGACGCGGACGCAGGGGCGAGTAGGACAGCTCTCCATATACTTCGTATAGTCAAGCTAAAAAGGAACTACTGACTAGCGGAAGGAACAAATATATATTTTTTGTGGACAAGATTTTTTATACTTCACAACAGCAGGTGTCACTTGCTGTGTGGCAAATGTAAACAAGAGGGCCATGATGGCCCTGAGGTCGCTCACCTGTATAAAGGCACCCGGAGCGGGGCCAGTTTAAACCCACGGGCTTTTATTTGAACAAACTTGGAAGACACCCATTAGAAGATATTTCACGATGTTAAGTTTTTACTACACACATATAATGAAAAACAACAATCTACCCCCCTCCTTCCATACCCCCCCCCCCCCTCTGGCAGGGCCAATTTTAACCCCAGGGCTTTTATTTGAACAAACTTGGTAGACACCCATAAGAAGATGTTTCATGCTAAACATCTAAGCTCTAGCTCATTGGGTTTTTTTTAAAAGAAGATTTTTTAAGTTTTTTCTATACACATATAGTTTAAACCAATGACACCCCTGGGGCGGGGCCAATTTTGACTCCAGGGCTTTTATTTGAACAAACTTTGTAGACACTCACTAGAAGATGTTTCATGCTTAATATCTAAACTCCAGCTATTTGGGTTTTTTCAAAGAAGATTTTTTAACTTTTTGCTATACACATATAAGGAAAATCAAGGACCCCCTGGCCGGGCCAATTTTGACCCCAGGGCTTTTATTTGAACAAACTTTGTAGACACCAATTAGAAGATGTTTCATGCTAAATATCTTAGCTGTAGCTCTTTGAGTTCTTTAAAAGAAGATTTTTTAAGTTTTTACTATATGCATATAGAGAAAATCAATGACCCCCTGGGGCGGGCCAATTTTTACCCCAGGGCTTTCATTTGAACAAACTTGGTAGACACTCATTAAGAGAAATTTCATGCTAAATATCTTAGCCCTAGCTCTTTGGGTTCTTTAAAAGAAGATATTTTAAGTTTTTACTATATGCATATAGGGAAAATCAAAGACCCCCTGGGGCGGGGCCAATTTTGACCCAAGGGCTTTTATTTGAACAAACTTGGTAGACACTCACTAGAAGATGTTTCATGCTAAAGATCTTAGCTCAAGCTCTTTGAGTTCTTTAAAAGAAGACTTTTTAAGTTTTTACTATATGCATATAGGGAAAATCAATGACCCCCTGGGGCAGGGCCAATTTTTACCCCAGGGCTTTTATTTGAACAAACTTTGTAGACACTCATTAGAAGATGTTTCATGCTAAATATCTTAGCCCCAGCTCTTTGGGTTCTTTAAAAGAAGATATTTTAAGTTTTTACTATATGCATATAGGGAAAATCAAAGACCCCCTGGGGCGGGGCCAATTTTGACCCCAGGGCTTTTATTTGAACAAACTTGGTAGACACTCATTAGAAGATGTTTCATGCCAAATATCTAAGCTCTAGCTCTTAGGGTTTTTTTAAAGAAGATATTTAAAGTTTTTTCTTTCGGTTGCCATGGCAACCAGAGTTCTGCATGGAATTAAATTCTTTGAACAATTTTTAAAGGTGACCACCAAATATTCCTGTGAAGTTTGGATGAAATTGGCTTAGTGGTTTATGAGGAGATGTCATTTAAAGTAAAAGTTTACGGACGGACGGACGACAGACGGACGCCGGACGAAAAGCGATCACAAAAGCTCACCCTGTCACTTTGTGACAGGTGAGCTAAAAAGTTGCCCCATATTTCACTTCATAGTTGTTATATATTTCTGGTCCTTTGGGACCATTGATTCCAGCATTTTAAGTGACGAATAGAGTACCGATTAAGCTGGTGGTAGGGGATGCGAGGGTTGTTGCACTTTTTCATTATCCATCATGTACAGACTCAATCAAACCAAATCTACAATTTTCATGTTATTAAAGCTTCTAAGGGATCACCCTTTCCAGTGTTTCATACATTTTTACTGTTTTTGCTAATTGCATCAGAAGCTCTTACTCATAATGCAGCAATGTCCTTCCCAATGCAATGTTCATGATGAAAGTTTTATTTATGATGGTTTCATTTCTAATTTATATTATTCTTCTTGCAACTTCAGTTAAGCTATTTTTATAACTTCCGATTATATTCCAAATTGCTTTTTCATTAATGAAGTGAGAAACATGCAGTTCAAAGAAATACGCAGGTGTATTATGGATGTGAAACAAGAAAATATAACAAAGATCAACAATAGAAAGCGACATTTAGAGAATGCAGCTCCCGATAAAATCCAGTCACACTGGACAATCACAAAGGCACTCAGGAGGACACCAAACAAAAGGCCATGAAGTGGTCATACCAATGAATGATAACAATTGACAGCTGAATAAAGAAACACTAAAAATGTCAAAGCTATATGAAAACATTTTTAAAAGAGAAAGAGAATTGTATAATATTGTCAAAGAAATATCTGTGAATAATAAATATGATCTTCGCTGAGCCCTTTTGCATTTTTATAGTTGACTCATAAATAATACGATTTAGTTTGCAACAAAAAATGCTTGAAGTACAAGTTTGCAACAAAAATGCGCTTGAAAAACATATTTTATTCCAGTAAAACTTTTTTTGGAACATGCAAATTTAAACTTTTACGCAGTATTGACAGAATCATATTTTGTCTTGTTTGGTGAACTTACAAACGTTAATAAATCAGCAAAAAATCCCTCCAGAATTATCACTAACATAAAGATGAGTTGTTATAGCCAGAAAATAACAATTAAGCATGTTTGAAAAATGGTTATTAGCCCTTATAAGTTGATTACAATAAAAATTTAACACTAACCTCATAAACATTGGTTGTTGTTGAACTTGTGGATGAGTAGATTGTTGTATTTGCTCTTGCTGTATTTGCTCCTGCTGTTGTTGTTGTTGAGATATATCAGGACTACTATCATTCTATGAAGGCAAATTGTTCTTGTTAAAATTAAGTTTACAGGTAATTTTATTCTATTTCAAATCAAATTTTGATACTATGTAAAATTCATCAATAAGCAGATGTAAGGTATAACAAGAGCAATCAGTAATCACATGTGTCGCCTCATGATGGCCAATTTCATGTTGGGACAAATGTTGTGACAGCCAGACTTGGGACAAATTTTGTGACAGACGGACAGACAGACGGACAGTGCACAACTAGACTTGGTACTGATCATTCCTGTAAAGTTTGGATAAAATTTCACCAGTAATTTATGAGGAGTAGTCCGCACAAGCTTTTGCGTATCTGGCAACACACAGAAAAAAACACCTTTTTATCAAAGGGCCATAACTCAGCCAAAAATCATTCAACCGGAAAACCCGTGCAATATGCGCAAGGACTTGAGCTACAGATCAATCCTGTAAAGTTTCATTGAAATTGCATTAGTGGTATAAGAGAAGTAGTCCGGACAAACTTTAAAATTAAAAATTATTAAAGGGCCATAACTCTGACAAAAATCATTGAACCTGAAATGCTGACAATATGCACAACTAGACTTGGTACTGATCATTCCTGTAAAGTTTGGATGAAATTGCACCAGTAGTTTATGAGGAGTAGTCCGGACAAGTTTTGTGACGGACGGATGGACAGACGGACAGACAGACAACGGAGAAGTGATCCCTATATGTCGCCACTACTCCGTAGAGGCAACACAAAAACAATTATTTCATTAAGAAATATCAAACATTATAGCTACCAACAATGAAAAGTGTAAACAAGCTTTTTGTTATGACAACATTTTATAATACATTTTTATACAAATTTACAGGTATATAAAAACAAGAGCTGTCCGTAAGACAGCGCGCTCGACTTTTTTATTGCTTGCCAATAAAAAAAGTTTTTGCAGTAAAAGGCAATACAAGAATCTCTGTATTTTTAAAGTGAACTAGTTGTTTGATACCCTTGAATATTACAGCAATGTTTATATGACATAATTTATGGTAAAGTGAACAAGTGGATAGGAATGAATTTTTTTAGATTTTTTAAGTTTTTTAGTGCTTGCCTATAATACAAAACATTGACAGTTAAGGGCCATAATTCAAATAAAATCTTTGACAGAATTACCTTCTCCTGGACATGTTTGGGAATCATGATTGTAAACAAGTATTCCAACTTTCAAATTAATATCTCAAACAGTTCAGTCAAAAAGTGGACTGGTACTAAAAACTTAACCAAGATTCTAAGTCGATAAAAGGCCTTAATTTTTAAAACAAATCCTTGACAGAGTTACCTTCTCTTGCGTACAGATGGGGGTAATGATGTGAAATAGCATTAAAAGTTTCAAAGCAATATCTCAAAGGGTTAAGGCAATAAGTGGATTTTACCCATATTCAATGTATTTTCTAAGTCAAAAAGGGGCATAATTCTGTCAAAAACCTTGACAGAGTTATGTCCTCTTGTCTGTTGATGAAGGTCGTGATGGTAAACAAGTATGGTCAGTTTCAAAGCAATACCTCCAATGGTTTTGAAATAAAGTGAGGTGGTACAAAAAACTTAACCAAGCTCAATACACTTTCTAAGTCAAAAAAGGGCCATAATTCTGTCAAAAACCTTGACAGAGTTATGTACTCTTGTCTGTAGATGGAGGTTATGATGGTGAACAAGTATGGTAAGTTTCAAAGCCATACTTGTAATACTTCTGAAATAAAGTGGGGTGGTACGAAAAACTTAACCAAGGTGTGACGCCAACGCTAACGCCGACGCCGACGCCGGGGCGAGTAGGATAGCTCCCCTTTTCATAGAAAAGTCGAGCTAATTATTGTTTATTGTTACATGAACCATATGTTTTGACCCCTTAAAATCACATTCATTGCTCATCAAGAGAGAGCAAACAGTACTCTTAAGCATTTAGTTCCATTACAAAAATAAAAGCAATATCTTTAACCAATGTTTATGTGGGTAATTAGAAATATATCAGATTACCATAAGTGGTGCAGGAGAAGGACCTGGTAGAAAAGGTACTCGTCCCCATCTCTGTATTAGTTCACCTGTAAACAGTGAAACAAATGATGAATCAAAACCAGGTGTGTAGAGAAGATCCTAGAGACACTTTACAATGATATACATGTAGCTGGTGTAAGTGATATCGTGGATCAAAACCAAACTTGCATAAGGTCTAATAAATGACACACCTAGGTAACAAATATGGCATGATAATCTATCATTAAAAAACAACTGTCAAAGTTATGTGATATAGTTTCCCGAAAAATAATGTTTTAGTTAAAACAAATTTACAGTTGAAAGACCCTACTTTAAGATGGAAATTATATAGGAAAGCAATTTATCTTATTCACATCAGACTGTAAAGCATATCCTAATAACTTTTCATGAGCAAATCTCCTACTCAAATAGGACTCTATACCATAGTAAAGCAGGTCAAAATATTTGAAACCATGTGTAAACTATGAAGTCTAAAATGTATATAACACTGATTATTCTACAAAAGGAATTTATAATTAAACATAAAGTGTAAATGTGTGTAAAATTTACCAAGTTGTGAAAATTGCTCATCACAGCCTCTGCGAATAGATAAGTTCATGGTAAAATATCCTGCATCGAACCACTCTGCCATTGCAGCTGATAAATAAGGACCTGAAATTTTTATTAACAATTAATATTGACTTGTGTATTTCAATTAACATTTGTTTTTACAGACTACAAGGTAGTACATTGAAATGAGATTATTCTTCTCTTTTACTTCACAAAGTATTTTTGTTCACTGTTTTGAACAGGCAAAACACATATATTTAAGAGATTATTGTTTATCTTTTATCAATCACATTTTTTTTTCTCACTTTTATATTTTTGGATTCTAACAATTATAATGATAAATTCCTGAAATCTCATCTAATAGATTATCTCAGCAACACCCAGTAAACAAAACAATGGTTACTTAACTAAAAGACCTGTTTGATTAGTTGTACTAAAATCAATAAGAACTATGCTCTTGTAAATTCTAAGAGGCTTACTGCCATAATCTTGTGAGTAAACTTCAAAAACAACCACAACCTAAAATACTGATTTATAACTAAATACTTTTATTTTACCTTGCAGGCCCCCTTGTAGGTCTCTGTAGTACCATTCATTGTTGTTTTTATGGTCTGGGGGTTGAGCACTTGGTGGTTCATCATCCTACATACATTATGAACAAATTAATGTACAAATCTTTATTCATTTCATAATAATCATAAAATATATTTAATTTTCAAGTCTTATGGAATCATATATGTAAATTTCTAAATAGAATGTATGAAAATCCAAATAATTTGAGAGGTATTCAAATCTCATACAAAAATTCATGACAATGTTTATAAATGATGCTAATAAATGACACAACTAGGTAATAAATATAGCATGTTAATCCATCATTTAAAAACAACTGACAAAGTTATGTGATATAGTTTCCTGAAAAATGTTTTAGTTAAAACAAATTTACAGTTGAAAGACCCTACTTTAAGATGGAAATTATATAGGAGAAGAATTTATCTTATTCACTTCGGACTGTAAAGCATATCCTAATAACTTTTCCCAAGCAAATCTCCTACACACATGAAGGAATTTTAATTTTTGTTTTGTTTTGGGTTTTACGTCACATCGACACAGTATAGGTCATATCGCGACGTTCCAGCTTTACTGGTGGAGGAAGACCTCAGGTGCCCTTCCGTGCATTATTTCAGGCACGAACGGGCACCTGAGTAGAACCACCAACGTTCCGTAAGCTAGCTGGATAGCTTCCTCACATGAAAGAATCCAAAGTCCCTGTCGGGATTCGAACCCACAGCGGTGAGGGGCAAGTGGTTTGAAGTCAACGACCTTAACCAGTCGGCCACTGACGCCCCATAGGAATTTTAATGAAACCTTACAGAAATGTTCACCACTATGAGAAGCCGTATGGGGCGCATGAACCAGGTCTCTAGGTCAAGGTCACACATAGGTGTCAAAGTTCAAATAAATATATGTTACCAAAACTTTCAGTCATCATTTATTGAGGGATTAAAACACAAATGTTCAATATCATGACTATTGATGTGAAACAAGTGATTTATGTTAAAATATGCAAGGTCAAGGTCACTAAATATGACATTTGTTCCTTAACAAAAATAAAAGCCATATCTTTAACCAATGTTTATGTGAGTAATTAGAAATATATCAGATTACCATAAGTGGTGCAGGAGAAGGACCTGGTAGAAAAGGTACTCGTCCCCATCTCTGTATTAGTTCACCTGTAAACAGTGAAACAAATGATGAATCAAAACCAGGTGTGTAGAGAAGATCCTAGAGACACTTTACAATGATATACAGTGTAACTTCTGAAAACCGAACACCCCTGGGACTTGTCAAAAAGTTCGGATTTCAGAGGTTTCCGGAATTCAGAGGTTTAGGATAATGTGGACAAGACTAAGCCACTAAATGTCCAGGAAAATGTGGCCATTACTGTAATATCATATATAATAGTCTTTAATCAACTTGAAGATAAAGATGTGAATAAAAATAATACATTTATATTTAACACTTTATTTAATACTATATAATAATGATACTTATATAAACAAGCAATTATCATAGTATTGCAAGCAATCCATAAGTCCCCTACCGGTTAGAACCCCAGCAACATTCTGAAGGGCCATTGGCCATTCACTTATGTCTCTATTTTAAGTAAATTTGTTGAAAAAGTTCTTAAAAAGTGATCACAGGAAACAGTTTTTATGTACAAACAGACAGATGTTACACTATAATGTACAGTCTCTTAACATCTTAAAGTCTCTTACAACAACATTCATATTTATGCATCTGACTTTTTAAAGAAGAAATCAATTGTAGACTGTTTCTGCACACACTTTGCTTGACAATTTTGCATTCAGTTAGCATCTGGAGTTCCTGCACAGTATTGAGATAATCACTTGCTTTTTCAGTTGCAAAATTTTCAATCTTAATCAACATTTCAAGCACTTCACTATGAGTAAGTTCACTCCCAGGTAAATGTTGCTGTACATCATCTGTTTCAGTATCAAAGACATCACATGTGGTTTAAGAGGATTCCTTAAATGACTGCACAAGATTGCACTCCCATTCGTCTGAATTATCCTCCATTGGAATTATGATCAAAGTTTTATAAGTCCTCACAAGTGTATCTGAAATATTGAACAAGCACATTAAGGGGTACATCATCATCATCAAACTCATCATCATCAACAAGATTATCAGAAGACATCTCAAAGTGTGTGGAGCTAAATCCCACTGACTTAAAACACTTCACTACTGTGTCAGTCTTAACACTGTCCCATGCTTTTACAACCCAACCGATAGCATCAAGAAGAGACACGGTTTTACAAAGTTCAGTCACTGACTCAGCACTATCCATTTTACTCAACAGTGATCTCAACATTGACTTCCTGTAGTAAGCTTTGAATGTTCGGATTATACCTTGATCCAATGGTTGTAGTTGTGATGTCGTGTTGGCTGGCAAGAACTTGATTTCTACGTTTGATAAAGTATAATCTTCTTGTTTTCCATGTGATGAAGCATTGTCTAACAGCATGAGAATTTGGGACCTTGTCTGCGCATGTCAGAGTTTAAATCCACAAGCCAGTCAGTAAACACCTTATTGTTCATCCATGCTTTTTTTTAGCCACATACTTAACACCAAGTTCTGTTTTTTTGACATTCTTAAAACACCTTGGATTTTCAACTTTTGTAATACCTAATGGTCTCAATTTTTCACCAGACGCGCCACAAGCAAACATTACCGTAATCCTATCTTTTGACACTTTAGTTCCTTTTGATGCTGTCCCTTTCACAGATAATGTTTTATCTGGCAAAGCTCTAAAATACAATCCAGTCTCATCACACTTGAATACCTCATCCAAAGAATAGTCACCAATGATTTCAGGAATTCGCGATTTGAAATTTTCATTAAAAGCTTTGTATTCAGTGATTCCAAGTTCTTGAGCAAACTGAAGTGCTTTCTCTTTAATAATTGGACCAGAGAGTGGCATATTTTTAGCACATACAACACAGAACCATTGCCACACAAGATCATTCAAGTGTTCATACTTTGCATCATAACCAATACGCATCTTACTTGGGGAAGTATTACACTCCCAATGTTTCTTTTAGGTTTCTTTCTTTTTCAACATGTCTGCTACTGTTGACTTTCCTATGCCATACTTTTCAGAGAGTACCTGAAAACTAGAACTCCGCGAGTCGGATGTGTCGCCTGGTGAACAATGTAGTTTAGGAGAAATGGCCAGGACAAAAATGAAATATGAAAAATAACAATGGGCAATAACTAAAAAAATAATAAGTGCATAGCAGAAGTTTCTGTGCACTGCACTTCTTATCAATAAGATCTATCATTCTATGATGTTTCAAGTCCATAGCCTTCATACTTGAGGAGAAATGACCAGGACAAAAATAAAGTAAGAAAATCAACAAAGGGCAATAACTCAAAAAATAAGTTATGCAGAGTATCAGTTCTTATGCACTGCACTTTTTCTTCATGAGATCTATCATCCTATGAAGTTTCAAGTCCATAACTTTTATACTTTCGGAGAAATGGCCTGGACAAAAATTAAGTATGAAAATTAACAAAGGGCCATAACTCAAAAATTAGGAAGTGCAGAGTACCGGTTCTTGTGCACTGCACTTCTTCTTAATGAGATCTATCATCCTATGAAGTTTCAAGTCCATAGCTTTTTTAGTTGAAGAGAAATGGCCCGGACAAAATTAAAGTATGAAAATTAACAAAGGGCAATAACTCAAAAAATAAGAACTGCAGAGTACTGGTCCTTGTGCACTGCACTTCGGGTTATTGAAAGAAGCATGCATACCAAGTTTGAAGTCAATCAGACTTATAGTGACTGAGTTATGCTCCGCACAAGCTTTAGGGGACGACGACAACGACGCCGACAACGAAGCCGACACAGACACCGCCGCCGCCGACAAAAGTAACCCCTATATGTCACCTTTTCAAGGCAACACAAAAAGAAGAAAATATTGAAATAGTGCAATTTTTGTTTGCAAACAGAAATTCAGTAAAACACAAACATTGGTATTTCATTTCAACAGAAAATAAAACATTTCATGCAGATCATTCATTCAAAAAGAAAACAATCTTCACAAACCTTCAATGTTGGTTTGGGAACCATTTCAGACTCACAAATTACCTTAATTTTGTCCTCAAGGGACAGCTCAGTTCTACGACATTTAGAAGGTGTTTCGTTCATTATGACTATGAAACTAATGCAAATTCATGAAAAGACCATTATTTAAAGATTGTTCTGTCTTCATTTTAATCATTTAAAGTTTGCTCATTTTAATCTTACCTGCAAATGCCTTTGAATTTCTATCAGTTTGTAGAAATGTTGTTAATTGCATAAACTTACATATTGTCCGATGCTAGTTAATAATTATTACATCAAATGCAATAAAATCCCTAAAGTGATGCATACATTGTCCCAATTAATTGTCATTTAATCCGCTAATAAACACTTCAAATTAACTGACCTCCGTAAATTACTTCAATTAACCGCATCACTTCAAACATACCATTTCACAGTTTGTGATTTTAATGCGTGTCAAATTACACGATCACCGCTAATTAGTAAACAATCGACAGGGAGATTAAATCTTCCTGCAGGGTAAACCTTCTCGATTTACAATGTATTTCACACCTTTGGATATTTCCGGTTTTTGGAGGTAAAATTGCATTGATTTGACTCTAATTTTACGAAAATATCTACCGGAATTCAGAATTTCCGGAATTCAGAAGTATTATATTTATAGAAAATAGAAGGGAAAAAATCGGGACCGAAAAAATTGTTCGGTTTTTAGAAGTTTCCGGATTTCAGAAGTTCCGGAATTCGGAAGTTACACTGTAGCTGGTGTAAGTGATATCGTGGATCAAAACCAAACTTGCATGATAGCCTACTCAAATAAGACTATATACCATAAGTATAGCAGGTCAAAATATTTTAAACCAATTGTGTAAACTATGAAGTCTAAAATGTATATAACACTGATTCTACAAAAGGAATTTATAATTAAACATAATGTGTAAATGTGTGTAAAATTTACCAAGTTGTGAAAATTGCTCATCACAGCCTCTGCGAATAGATAAGTTCATGGTAAAATATCCTGCATCGAACCACCCTGCCATTGCAGCTGATAAAAAAGGACCTGAAATTTTTATTAACAATTAATATTGACTTGTGTATTTCAATTAACATTTGTTTTTTACAGACTACAAGGCAGTACATTGAAATGAGATTATTCTTCTCTTTTACTTCACAAAGTATTTTTGTTCACTGTTTTGAACAGGCAAAACACATATATTTAAGAGATAATTGTTTATCTTTTATCAATCACATTTTTTTTCTCACTTTTATATTTTTGGATTCTTACAATTATAATGATTAATTCCTGAAATCTTATCTAATAGATAAACTTAACACCCAGTAAACAAAACAATGGTTACTTAACTAAAAGACCTGTTTGATTAGTTGTACTAAAATCAATAAGAACTATGCTCTTGTAAATTCTAAGAGGCTTACTGCCATAATCTTGTGAGTAAACTTCAAAAACAACCACAACCTAAAATACTGATTTATAACTAAATACTTTTATTTTACCTTGCAGGCCCCCTTGTAGGTCTCTGTAGTACCATTCATTGTTGTTTTTATGGTCTGGGGGTTGAGCACTTGGTGGTTCATCATCCTACATACATTATGAACAAATTAATGTACAAATCTTTATTCATTTCATAATAATCATAAAATATATTTAATTTTCAAGTCTTATGGAATCATATATGTAAATTTCTAAATAGAATGTATGAAAATCCAAATAATTTGAGAGGTATTCAAATCTCATACAAAAATTCATGACAATGTTTATAAATGATGCTAATAAATGACACAACTAGGTAATAAATATAGCATGTTAATCCATCATTTAACAAGGGTGCCAATGTCACAAAATACGCCCATTTACGAAAGCTTTAGATGGAGATGGGGGCATTATGGATAAGTGTTATCTAGCAAGCAAGTTTTTATTCTTGGCACCGCCTCCATGGTCGAGGGGTTAGAGTCGATGACTTCTAATCCAGTTACCTCTCTGGCGTGGGTTCGATCCCCGGGAGATGCTTTGGTAGTTTAGCGCGGAGGAAGGTAGTCTAGTACTGGTGTAACTCTCCAGGAACGATGGTTAGGAAACTACCCGCCTATATGACAGAAATACTGTTGAAAAAGGCGTAAAATGAAACAAACAAACAAAACTGTGTTGTTAAATGAACCTTAAAACAAATCAGTAGGGAAGATATGCACAGGATGTGTGACCTTGACCTTGGTCGCAGGGACCTGAATTTTATGCACGACATTCAGCCTCACAATGATGAACATTTGTGCCAAATTATATTGAAATCCCTCTATGCATGTAGAAGTTTTGCTCCAGACAAGCGTTTTTCTATGAGCTCTAACTGTGACCTTCACCTTTGACCTAGAGACTTGGTTCATGTGCAGGGCACTACGTCTCATGGTGGTGAACAATTCTATAAAGTAACATTAAAATTCCTCCATGCATGTAGAAAATATGCTCCGGACAACATCTGGATATTTAATCATCTCCAGTGACCTTGACCTTGCAAATATTAACCTAAATTAAATGTGTCACACCTGTAGTCATGATAGTTACCATTTGTGCTACAATCCATCAATAAATGATGACTAAATGGTCCCTATACACATCTTCAAATTTTTATCTGAACCTTGACCTCTATGTGTAACCTTGACTTTGGTCGCAGCGATCTGAATTTTGCGTGCGACACTCAGCCTCACAATGGTGAACATTTGTGCCAAGTTATATTGAAATCCCCCTATGAATGTAGAAGTTTTGCTCCGGACAAGCGTTTTTCAATGAACTCTAAGTGTGACCTTGACCTGGAGACCTGGATCATGCATGGAGCAATACATATCATAGTGGTGAACATTTCCATAAAGTACTATAAAAATTCTTCCATACATGTAGCAGAATATGCTCCAGACAAAATCTGGATATTTCACCATCTTTAGTGACCTTGACCTTGCATATATTGACCTAAAGTACATGTGTCACAGCCGTAGTCATGATAATGACCATTTGTGTTACAATCCCTCAATAAATGATGATTAAATCGTCCCTATACACATCTTCATATTTTTATCTAAACTTTGACCTCTATGTGTGACCTTGACCTTGGCTGCATGGACCTGAATTTTGTGCGCGACACTCCGCCTCACAATGGTGAACATTTGTGCCAAGTTATATTGAAATCCCTCTATGCATGTGGAAGTTTTGCTCCGGACAAGCGTTTTTCAAATGAGCTCTAAGTGTGACCTTGACCTTTGACCTAGAGACCTAGTTCATGGGCGTGACATGGCTTCTCATAATGGTGAACATTTCTATGAAATTTCATAAAACTCCCTCCATGCGTGTAGGAGATATGCTCCGGACAAAATCTGGATATTTCATCATCTTTAGTGACCTTGACCTTGTATATATTGACCTAAATTATATGTAATCACAGCCATAGTCTTGATAATGACCATTTGTGTTACAATCCCTCAATAAATGATGACTAAATGGTCCATATACACATCTTCATATTTTTATCTGAACTTTGACCTCTATGTGTGACCTTGACCTTGGCCTCAAGAACCTGAATCTTGCGCGCGACACTCTGCCTCACAATGGTGAACATTTGTGCCAAGTAATATTGAAATCCCTCTATACATGTGGAAGTTTGCTCCGGACAAGCATTTTTCAATGAGCTCTAAGTGTGACCTTGACCTTTGACCTAGAGACCTGGTTCATGTGCGCGACACTGCTCCTCATAGTGGTGAACATTTCTATGAAGTTTCATTAAAATCCCACATACATGTAGGAGATATGCTCCGGACAAAATTGGACGCCGCCCGCCCACCCGACCGTCCGTCCGCCCGCCCGCCAGGGACGTTCCCATAATACGTCCCGTTTTTCAAACGGGTGTATAAAAACAACTGTCAAAGTTATGTGATATAGTTTCCTGAAAAATGTTTTAGTTAAAACAAATTTACAGTTTAAAGACCCTACTTTAAGATGGAAATTATATAGGAAAGGAATTTATCTTATTCACATCAGACTGTAAAGCATATCCTTAATTTGGTAAGCCTAATTAACCTAACATATAGTGATAAACCTAGATTATTCATATCTATTTTGAAATCAACTAATATACCCATATTCCTCCTTATGAACTACAGAATCTGCTGATGTAAACACAGATTATGAATTCTATATTGTAACAAGAGATGATTATTTGTGGTGGCTAGTAATGAAAATAGCAAACACTCTAAAATAATATAAAATATAAGACAGGTGAAAAAGAAATTAAACAAGAGCTTTCAATAGGATGGATTTACAGACAAGGATTTTTCTAAAAATAGAATCACTGATAAGAAATACACATAGAAACAGTTGCTGGTCGGACAATCATTTTGTCCGACCTGTGACCAGTCCTATAGAACTTATATTACTTTCAGTGTGGAGTCAATGAAAAATTAAAAGTTTAAACAAATTTTACAATATTAATGTATGAAATGTTAATTCCAGATACGAAGCTAAAACATATTACATGTATTAATGCTTTGGGTGGGTTATGCCCATTATTGAGAGATCATTATAATTTATGTGACTTAAAAGAGTATTTTAAACTGTCATCTAGAAATGTGTCCATAGGACATGGGTACCCCCACACTCCACTGTTCTGTCAATCTTATGACTGTAGGTCAAATATTTTTTGGACTATATGTGCCACAAGTTGAAAACTAAACATTTTTTACTAAGTAAAGGGCAAGAACTTTACAAATACTGTGTAAATCCACAAGCAATTTATACTACTGTAAATCAAGGGCAATAACTCTAACAAAACTGAAACAAGAGCCGGTTAACCCGGATGATGCTCTCTGACTAGGTTTTGGACACAGAAAAGTATATCTTTTGTAGTTTCAGACTTATGTCCCAGATAAAGTTCAAAGTGTGATAATTCCAAACTTAGGCAAGGCAGAGTTACTGTTCTTTGCACTGCACATCTACTCAATGAGATCTAAAAAGTTGTAAATACGACTTCAAATAACAAAAATGTGGGCCTGACACGATTTTGCTGCAAGGTCATGCTGTGACCTTGACCTTCAAGGTAGCCACCCAAATGTTGCTCGCAACACATCGTCTCAATATGGTGATCATTTCTGTAAAATAGTTGTATAATGCAACTGCAAATAACGAAGTTAAGGGTCAGACACAATTTTGCTGCAAGGTCATGCTGTGACCTTGACCTTCAAGGTAGTGACCAAAATGTGGTGAGCAATACATCGTCTCAATATGTGATCATTTCTATGAAATACTTTAAAAATCCGACTTCAAATAACAAAGTCATGGGCTGGACACGATTTTGCTGTAAGGTCATGCTGTGACCTTGACCTTCAAGGTAGCGACCCAAAAGTTGCGTCTGACACATTGTCTCAATATGGTGATCATTTCTGTGAAATAGTTTAAAAATCCGACTTCAAATAACCAAGTTATGGGCCGGACATGATTTTGCAGCAAGATCATGCTGTGACCTTGACCTTAAAAGTAGCGACCCAAATGTTGCAAGCGACATGTCATCTCAATATGGTGATCATTTCTGTGAAATAGTTTAAAAATCCGTCTTCAAATATAGAAGTTATGGGCCTGACTCGAATTTCGGGACATACGTACCAATGGACTGATTACCCGACGGCTATATGCTCCCCCGAAATTTTTCATTCATAAGGTCATAACTCTAAGTCAAATCCTTTTTGAGTAAGATGCGACACAAGTTGAAAATTGCAAAATTTTACTAAGTCAAGGGCAATAACTCAAAAAATACTATATAAATGCACACAAATATACCCAGGTGCACAACTACACATGCTGTTTAACATTCCTGTAGAGTTTCATGATTCTATGTCAAATCCTTTTTGAGTTACATGCGACACAAGTTTATAATTGCAAAATTTTACTAAGTCATGGGCAATAACTCAAAAATACTATATAAATGCACATGAAAATACCAAGGTGCACAACAACACATACTAATTAACATTCCTGTAAAGTTTCATGACTCTAGGTCAAATCTATTTTGAGTTACATACAACACAAGTTGAAAATTGCAAATTTTTACGAAGTCAAGGGCAATAACTCTAACTAGAACTATCACTAAATGTGATTAATACCCCCACAAGACTGCTTCGGAAATGAGGATGTTACTAGTAACAGAATACCTTGTAAAATAATTGAAATATAGAGTTATGGTTGTGGGCAATTAAAGATAGTTGTGGTTCTTGTATGTTGCATTTTCTTTCATTGTGGTTGGCCATTGATGAAGTTTTCTTGAATTACTCTAATAAGTCCAGAAAGACAAGGAAAAGGAACAAAGGGCAATAACTCTATAAATACTGAAGATGGAGTTATAGTTCTTGTGCACTGCACTTCCTCTTATTGTGCTTGACAACTGTATGAAGTTGTATTGAATTCCTAACAGTAGTTTTCAAGTTATGTTCTGGACAAGGAAAAGTAACAAAGGGCAATAACTCTGTAATTAGTCAAGATGGAGTTATGGTTCTTGTGCACTGCACTTCAGCTTATTGTGTTTGACAATTGTATGAAGTTGTTTTTAATTCCAACCAGTAGTTTTCAAGTTATGCCCTGGACAAGGAAAAGTAACAAAGGGCAATAACTCTGTAATAAGTCAAGATAGAGTTATGGTTCTTGTGCACTGCACTTCCTCTCAATGTGCTTGAGCATTGTATGAAGTTATAATGAATTCCAATAATTAGTCTTCAAGTTATGGTCCGGACAAAAGAAAGCAATGGAAAAGTAACAAAGGGCAATAACTCTGTAATTACTTTAGATAGAGTTATGGTTCTTGTGCACTGCACTTCAGCTTATTGTGTTTGACAATTGTATGAAGTTGTTTTTAATTCCAACCAGTAGTTTTCAAGTTATGCCCTGGACAAGGAAAAGTAGCAAAGGGCAATAACTCTGTAATTAGTCAAGATAGAGTTATGGTTCTTGTGCACTGCACTTCCTCTCAATGTGCTTGAGCATTGTATGAAGTTAAAATGAATTCCATCAATTAGTCTTCAAGTTATGGTCCGGACAAAAGAAAGCAATGGAAAAATAACAAAGGGCAATAACTCTGTAATTACTTTAGATAGAGTTATGGTTCTTGTGCACTGTACTTCAGCTTATTGTGTTTGACAATTGTATGAAGTTGTTTTTAATTCCAACCAGTTGTTTTCAAGTTATGCCCTGGACAAGGAAAAGTAACAAAGGGCAATAACTCTGTAATTATTCAAGATAGAGTTATGGTTCTTGTGCACTGCACTTCCTCTCAATGTGCTTGACCATTGTATGTAGATATATTGAATTCCAACAATAAGTCTTGTATAAAAATACTGAATAAATCCACATGAAAATACCCAGGTGCACAACTGCACATGCTGATCAACATTTTTGTAAAGTTTCTTGACTCTAGGTCAAATCCTTTTCGAGTTACATGCGACACAAAAGAGAACGGATGGACGGATGGAAGGACGGACAGACTGACGGATGTTCAAACAAGAGAGTTTTAATGTGGCTACTCTATTGTTCTCTCTATTGTTCTTTTTAGCCACACAAAAGAAAATAGCCACATAAAAGCATTACGGAATGAATGACATCAAAGAGAAAGAACAGTTACCTATTGTCCCTCTAGCCACATAATTACTGTCCGTACTGGGAGTGCGGACTGACTGACAGACAGACAGACGGACAGACAACCCCGACGACTATATTGCATTATCACTGGATCCAGTTTATGTGTAAAATTTGCCATATTTTGAGATTATTTGTTGCCATAGCAACCAGAATTTTCAACATAGGAAGAAAAGAAAAAGAGGTGCATAATCTCCATTATCTACCAGCTATCCATATATCAACTTCCATCAAAATATTTTCAGTACTTAATGCGTTATCAAGGGATCCAATTTTGTGGACGGACGGACTGAAGGACATAAAGCATTACTGAATGAATGACATCAAAGAGAAAGAACAGTTACCTATTGTCCCTCTAGCCACATAATAACTGTCATGTGAGTGCTGACTGACAGACGGCCGGACTGACAGACGGACGGACTGACGGACGGTCAGACCCTGACCCTCTCGGAGGGTAAACCTAAAGTCCTGACCGGTAAACCGGTAGGGGACTAATTATAAAGTAATAAGAATTTGTACCAAAACTCAAGCAAAATTAAAACAAGTGACACTGAAGGTCAGTATCATTCATGAGTCAAGGTCAACTTCAGTCTGGCCTTCTTAGTGGTCTTGTCCAAAAAGTTGTGTCCAAATATGAAGACAATATGAACGAAAACTGAAAATTTCTTATTTTTTTCAAAGTTAAAGGGGCATAACTGTGCAAAAAATCATTGAACAATGACCAAATTCTAACCTTATCCGCACATTTCTATGACGTATAATTTGAGGTGAGTGTGTACAACTGTTGGGGAGATACTAAACAGAAACTGAATATTTTATATTTTTTTATAAGTTAAGGGGCATTATTTTGTCAAAAATCATCGAACCATAACCAAATACAAAATTGACCTACATTTTTCAATGATATATCCATATGAGCTGATGGGGAGTTAATGAACAGAATCTAAAAATTTCTTTTTTTTCAAAGTAAAAGGGGCATTACTCTATTAAAAATCAGTAAAACAACAACCAAATTCAAACATGCCCTTACCAAAATGACTTTAAGTGACTTATATGTTTCTTATATGCAACTTATACTTGACTTATAAGAGAACTATAAGTTGCATATAAGTCACTTATAAATCACCTAAAAACCTGTCTAAGTCAGTTATAGGTATATGCTACATATAAGTCACTTTCGGCCATTTTTCCCCCAACATACAAGTCACATATAAGTCACCTATAAGTGCCTTATACTGGTCAAGTTTGAGGTAACCAGTTTCTATGTTAGGTATAAGTGAAAACTTAGAACTTTTGCGAGACTTTTTATTACTGAGCAAAGCTGAAAAAATTACTAAGTACAAAAACATGAGAAAAATTGATAAAATTTATTGAAGTTGATTTGTAATTCTTTGCTTTAACACAATGGGTATCAAAATACTCAGAATTTAAAATACTATAATCTAAGACCTTAATCACAAACAATTAAGATTTTTTTTAAATGTTGCTTATTAATTTTTGAACACAGCTGGGGTTTTTTAAATAAGACAATAGGAAAAATGATTATCAATTAAGTATATTACCTGTAAAAAATTTTGGCACAGATTCTGTGCTAAATTGGGACAGAAATGGCATTCAATCAGAGATTTCTAGGCTACCATGGACAGAAATGAAATTCCATGTCATTTCTTCTCAGAAGGAAAATATTTCATATAAAAGTCACCCAAGGCATAATTCTACTCTTGTTTTTTTTCTAACTTGAAACAGACATTGAAATCTATACTTTTATAACTCTCTTGTTTGAACATCCGTCAGTCCGTCCGTCCTTCCATCCGTCCATCCGTTCTCTTTTGTGTCGCATGTAACTCAAAAAGGATTTGACCTAGAGTCAAGAAACTTTACAAAAATGTTGATCAGCATGTGCAGTTGTGCACCTGGGTATTTTCATGTGGATTTATTCAGTATTTTTATACAAAGTTTGGGGGGTATATAGGAGTCACCCGGTGGTCAGTTGGTCGGTCGGTCGGTCGGTCCAGACGTCCGTTGCATTTTCCTTTTCCAGAGCATAACTTGAAGACTTATTGTTGGAATTCAATATATCTACATACAATGGTCAAGCACATTGAGAGGAAGTGCAGTGCACAAGAACCATAACTCTATCTTGACTAATTACAGAGTTATTGCCCTTTGTTACTTTTCCTTGTCCGGGGCATAACTTGAAAACTACTGGTTGGAATTAAAAACAACTTCATACAATTGTCAAACACAATAAGCTGAAGTGCAGTGCACAAGAACCATAACTCCATCTTGACTAATTACAGAGTTATTGCCCTTTGTTACTTTTCCTTGTCCAGAACATAACTTGAAAACTACTGTTGGGAATTCAATACAACTTCATACAGTTGTCAAGGACATTAAAAGGAAGTGCAGTGCACAAGAGCCATAACTCCATTTTGACAAAGTACAAAGTTACTGCCCTTTGATACTTTTCCTTGTCCGGAGCATAACTTGAAACATACTGGTTGGTATTCAAAACAACTTCATACAATGGTCAAGCACAATAAGAGGAAGTGTAAGTTAAGGGGCATTACTTTGTCAAAAATCATCGAACCATAACCAAATACAAAATTGACCTACATTTTTCAATGATATATCCATATGAGCTGATGGGGAGTTAATGAACAGAATCTAAAAATTTCTTTTTTTTCAAAATAAAAGGGGCATTACTCTATTAAAAATCAGTAAAACAACAACCAAATTCAAACACATATATGACCTGCATATTCCTTTGATGTATCTATATCTCAAATTTCAGGTGAATGTTTACAACTGTTGGGGGATTTAATGAATGGAAACTGAAAATTTCATCATCGGACCATAACTAAATTCCAATTTGACCTGCATTTTTCATTAATATATCCATATGTCAAATTTGAGCTGAATGTGTGCAACCTTTACCAAGATATTGATCGGAAACTGATGATGATAGAATGATGGAACTTCAGAATGACAGAACTAATAGGAATGACTGAACAGGGTAACACTTTATGCCCAAGCCATTTTATAGTTTCATTTTCATTCATATTTAAAATGAATGAAAAAACATTTTTTCTGTTTACTAGTTAATGGATAAAAATCAAACAACTCTCATTTAAGTATTATCTATGTTAAAAAAACTCACCTGTGCTATTGGTAACAATCCTTTGAAATAATATACTTTTTTCCTCAAAAAATCTCTCAGGTTTTTCAATTGGTTGAAAATTACATTCCTTATGAATATTATTATCAACCCTATTAGAGTTGTGTTGATAATGATAAGGATATCTATATCACTCCAGGAACGATCCTTTAGCAGGTTATCATCATGCAATTTGAGACGTTTAAAATCTGAAAATACAATTACAGTAAACTTCACATATAGCGAACACGGTTATAGCGAACTTCCGGTTATAAGGAACAAATTTTTTGGGCCCGAATTTTGCCCTTCTTTATTTAATGTAAAAAATTACGGTTACAGCGAACACGGTTATAAGGAATTATCGCTTATAAGGAACTCATTTTTCAGTCCCAATGCCATAAAAAGTACAGAAAATTACACTTTTATAACGAACTACAAATATTGGCTATCCGTAAACAGATCAAGCATTTTCTACTTTCGTTTTCATCGGCACAGATTACAACTTGGCCGAATGTAGCGGATATATTAGGAACAAATAATGACGATGACAGTCAATCTTCCGAAGACGAGATCTATTTAGATTATCTGCCGGTTGTGTCAAAAAATGAAGCTATTGATTGTTTGCACTAGATTAGGTTATACTTTGAGTGTAATGCACATGTTTGAAAAACAGTTTTTAAAAGTTTATTGAATATTGAATTTAACCTGAAGAGTTGTAAACATTCCCACACTAAAATTAGCGACTTCTTCAAAGCAAAGTGATTATTTTTGTGCATGATACTGTATCGTTAATAAATAACAATATTGCATATATGGTACATATCATATAATTATCTTATAGATATATTTATACATACAAATTATATTAAAAAGAAACAACATTGCAATTATTCCTTAATCAATATAAGGGAGACAACAATGACGAACTCAAGAGTTATTTCTCTTAATCAAATGCTCTTCTAAATGGAGGACGATGGTAAACAATTAGTTCGTTATATGTAAAACTGTTCGCTATAAAAACTTCTGATACAAGGAACTAATTCGCTATATGCTTACAAGGAACTCCGGATATAAGGAACAGATTTTGAATGTCCCAGTGAGTTCGTTATAAGCGGAGTTTACTGTATATGATAACATTTGCATATGCATCATCCAGAAGGAATGGATGTTATTAACTATACATTGAAAATTTACTATAAGCTGGCATTGCCAGAAATTTAACCTGGATGTCTGGATTACTAACCATTACATCACAACAGTGTCAGAAGATATGTTCAAGGAAAAATAGCTTTTATGTTACACTTATATCAAAACAAACTAGAACTGCCACTGTCATGGTGTGAATACCCCCACATACCACTCTGTCAGAATTAATAGTGGTCATTTAGAGCTCAAAGACAACATCCTGGTAGTTAACCAGTGCCTTGCTATTTTATTTATTCTACATGTTTTTAGTGGCAAAGATAAAACTGACTTTTACCTTTGACCTACTGACCTCAAAACCGAAGCTGCCACTGCATTACTTGAAACCCTTCCTCCCCCCATTCATGCAGCTTTGCCTGGGGTGTTTTATGATGAATATATGAGAAATTAAATTAATTATATGTTTCAAATGTCAAAATGTCAAAATCAATACACTGTGGACATGCATTCTTAAGCATTTGAGCAGACAAGCTTATTGTAGTAAAAACCCCTGTGACCTTGACCTTTAACACAGTCACCAAATATCAATAGGGGTCATCTACTAGTGACAGTCATAACCAACCTCAATACCAAATATGAAGACTGTTGGCCAAAGCATTCTTAAACAGTTGAGCAGACAAGCTTTTTGAACTAAAGGCCCCTGTGACCTTGACCTTTGACTGATTGACTTCAAAATCAAAAGGGGTCATTTAATGGTCATGATCAACCTGAATGCCAAATATTATGACTGTGGGTCAAAGATGGGTGGACAAGCTTTTGATAGTCAAGGTCCTACTGACCTTGACCTTTGACATAGTGACCTCAAAATCAATAGGGTTACCTACTAGTCATAACAAACCTCAATTACAAATATGTAGACTGTTGACCAAAGCATTCTTAAGTTTGTTTGTTTGTTTGTTTGGATTTTTTAGGCACATCAACACATAACTGGCCATATCGTGCCCAATGCTATAGTAATTGAGTGGACAAGCTTTTTTGTCAAAGGATTCTAAAAGTTATTGGGTGGACTAACTTTTTGAAATCAAGGCCCCTGTGACCTTGACCTTTGAGCAAGTGACCTCATAATCAAAACATGTCAGCTACTTGTCGTAACCAACCTCAGTAACAAATATAATTACTGTTGACCAAAGCATTCTTTAGTAATTGAGCAGAAAAGCTTTTTGGTCAAAGGATTCAAAAGTAATTGGGCAGACAAACTTTTTAAGTCAAGGCCCTCCTCACCTAGTGACCTAAAATCAACAGGGATCATCTACAAATCATAACCAACCTCAATACCAAATATGAAGACTGTTGGCCAAAGCAATTGAGCAGAAAAGCTTTTTGAAATAAAGACTTTTTTTAAACTTGACCTTTGACCCAGTGAACTCTTAAGCAAAAGGGGTCATCTAATGGTCATGACCAATGTCTTTGCCAAATATGAAGACTGGGTCTAAGGAATCTAAAGTTATTGGGTGGACAAGTTTTTTTCTAGTCAAGGCCCCTGTGACCTTGCCCTTTGAGCCAGTGACCTCAAAATCAATAGGGAACATCTTATAATCATGACGGACCGCAATGCCAAATATGAAGACTGTGGATCAAAGGTTTCTTAAATTATTGGGCGGACAAGCTTTTTTAGGCAAGGCACCTGTGACCTTGACCTTTGACCTCAAAATCAATAGGGGTCATCTACTAATTATGACCAATCTCAATACCAAATATGACGACTTCGGGTCAAAGGATTCTTAAGTTATCGTGCTTTTAGTCAAGGCCCCTGTGACTTTTGAACTTAAAATCAATAGGGGTCATCTACTTATCACGACCTATCTCAATACCAAATATGAAGACTGGGTCAAAGGAATCTTATGTAATTGGGCAGACAAGAAAAAAACAAACTGACAGCCAGATGCCCGATGGCCAGACAGACAAGCTGATTCCACTATACCCTCCTAACAACTTTGTTGTGCGGGGGTATAACAAACAAATTACAAGCAGTATGATGAATTTCCACTTTAAAGAACATTTAAACAAGAGGGCCAAGATGGCCCTAGATCACTCACCAGACCCATCAAACTCATCCAAACAATTATCTAGACAATATTCTGACCAAGTTTCTTGACAGGTGAGTCAAAAATGTGACCACTACAGTGTTAACAAGGATTATCCATATTTGAGCAGTGTGACTTAGTTTTTGACCCCAGGTGACCCATATTCAAACTTGACATAAAAATCATCAAAACAAACTTTCATACAATTTTCCAGGATATTTGGATCAAAACAGTAGCCTCTAGAGTGTTAACAAGATTTTTCTATTTTTAGCTCCTGTGACCAAGTTTTTCATCCCAGATCATGTTCAGACCTATTCAAGCAATTACCTAGACAAGCATCCTGAGCAAGTTTGATGTCAATTGAGTCAAAAATGTGACCACTAGAGTGTTAACAAGGTTTTTCAATTTTTGGGCAGTGTGACCTAGTTTTTGATCACAGGTGACCCATATTCAATCTTAACCTAGAAATATTCAAAACAAACTTTCAAACCAATTTCCAGGATATTTGGATCAAAACAGTAGCCACTTGAGTACTAACAAGATTTTTCTATTTTCAGCTCCTGTGACCTAGTTTTTTATCCGAGATGACCTATGTTCATTCACATCCAAGCAATTACCAATACAAGCATTCTGACTAAGTTTACTGACAAATGAGTCAAAAATGTGACCACTAGAGTGTTAACAAGGTTTTTCCATATTTGGGCAGTGTGACCTATTTTTGACACCAGGTGACACATATTTAAACTTTAACCTAGAAATCATCAAAACAAACTTTCAGACCAATTTCCAGGATATATGGATCAAAACAGTAGCCACTAGAGTGTTAACAAGGTTTTTCTTTTTTTAGCTCCTGTGTCCTAGTTTTTCATCGGAGATGACCCATGTTCGAACTCATGCGAGCTATTTTCTAGACAAGCATCCTGACAAAGTTTGATGATAATTGAGGCAAAAATGTGACAACTAGAGTATTAACAAACAAGTGTGGACGACAGAAGAGGGACATTCAACGATCCTAATGTTTATTTCTTAATTCAATTTAAGCAATCTATTAGCAAAATGTAATCATTCAACAAGAAGGGCTTTTTATCACAAAAACAAATGTCTCCCAAAATTAGGTATGGTACTGATCTGTGAAGTTTTGTCCAAATCCCGCCAGAAGTTTGGACAAGCTTTTTCTATTTATAGCCAACAAGCAGCTGTTTTGCGCAACAAAGTAGAACATGTTGACAATATGTACAACAAGGTATGGTACTGATCACTTCTATGAAGTAATGTTGAAATCCCGCAAGCGGTTTGACCTGTGAAAGCAAGACAAGATTTTTTATTGATAGCTCTTGTGGCAATCTTGTTAAAAGAAGTGGAACATGCAGGTGATATGCACAACTCAAAGGGATGGAAATGATCACTCCTATGAAGTTTCATTGAAATCCCACCAGGTGAAAGACCTGTGAAATCCGGACAAGAATTTTCTGTTTAAGCTCTGGTGACCATTTTGTGCAGCAAAGCAAAAATAAACGGCAATTTGTCAACAAGGGAATTAGTACTGATCACTCCTGTGCAGTTTGATTAAAATCCAACCACCAGTTTGACCTTTGAAAGCCAGACCAGATTTTTCAATTTTTAGCTCTGGCGCCCATTTTATGCAGCAAAGCGGAACGTGCAGGAGATATGCACAAATAAGGATGGCAATGATCACTCCTGTAAAGTTTGGTAAAAATCCAACCAGCAGTTTGAATTGTGAAAGCCAGACTACCTTAATTTTTGGGAGACATGATTACATATACAAGAAAATTAATCACGATAGACATAACTTTTCTGAATTAAATTTCAACAAAATTTTCATTAAAAACTTGTGATGGCAGTGGTCTGTGTATCGAAGCAGAGGGGACCAATGCTGTCACAATTGCATTGAAACTGAAGATTGTGGGTCCAAATCTTAATAGTGTCAATTATATTTGTTTCCCTTTTTTTTTCTTTTAACATTACTTATGAATCTCTCAGACCATTTAACAAACCTATTGTTATTGATTGTACAAAGAGTTCACATGTCAATTTGACACCTTGACTTAATCATTTATGATCTCAAAATCGAAGGGTCCATCAAGGGCAGTAACTCTACAACACATCTGCGGATCATGATGGCATTTTAAGATTCACCATGCCTTTCTCAATATAATTATATGAAAACATACTTGTGTGTGCTTTTGAAGCAAAAAGACTCACATGGACATTTACGGCTACAGTATTCGGAGTCCATATTTCTAAACTTAGAACAAATATAGGAACATCTGTAACATCTTTGCTCTTTTTCTTCTGTCAGGTATTGATCAACGTTACACACATGTTGGGAGTCTAAATAGCAATAACATAAAACTGTATTTGCAGATATTACACATTTACATAAATGGGAAACAGCAATCAAAATGAGTGAGAAGTTGTTGTGGTTTTTTTTTCACCTGAAAACAATAGCTTATAGTTAACAAAACTGAGAAAATTACTTTGAAAAAATAACTATTTGACTGCAAGAGCATGTGAACAACCAGGTTAAATTTTGAATAAGGTCTAGTAATATCATTTGTAACATCAATTTATCATCAAGTAACATATTTGTACAATTAAAAGTTATAGGTTTAAATCCTGCCAGGAGCTTTGGACTCTTCCATGTGAGGAAGCTGGTCAGATTGGGAGGGGGGCAATTTTGAAAACAAGAGCTGTCGAAAGGACAGCAACGCTCGACTATTCTTAGTGCTTGATAGAGAGTCCTAGTATACTCTCATATGAGAGTATACAATTTCAACTTGTTTCAAAGCCATATGTCAATAGAATATGAATATTTCTGAGGTGGTAAGCAAACTTTAATATAAATTCTAAGTAGAAAAAGGGGCATAATTCTGTCAAAATGCTTGATACAGTTACCTCCTCCTGTCTACAGGTTGGGGTCATGATGGTGAACAAGTATGCAAAGTTCCAAAGCCATATGTCAATGGACTTTGAAAATATTTGAGGTATTACAAAAACTTTAACATAAGTGGTTACGCCAACGGGACACCAACGCCGACACTCGCAATAGCTCCACTTATTCTTATCGAATAGTCGAGCTAAAAACTTGGTAAACACCATTGAAATTGATCAATTTCCACTATCTTGTTTTACATAACCGAATTGTTTTATATTTTTCACCAATTACTGAAAATAACTTACATATTCTCAATCTTTCAAATTGCATTTTTACATTTTTAGAACTTCTTTTTTGTTATTTCTTTTAAGTTTATAATGTCATAGCTTCCTCTCCATTTAATATGGCAACAAGAATATAGCATGAAATGAAATTCTTTTAATAATTTTTAAAGAGAATCATGCCAGAAACATTCCTGCTTAATTTGAACAATATTGGCCTATATTGGTATAGGATGAGATTTTGTTTTAAGAAAAAGTTTATTTAAGTCTATTTGTTGCCATAGCAACCTAAGTTTTTAACATAGGAGGAAATAAAAAGATATGCATAATCTCTAGACTGTCATCTACCCATCTATCATGTTTCATAAAAATATTTTCAGTACTTTTTGCATTGTTACAGGATCCAGTTTCTGTAATATATTTGCTATATTTTAAGTCGATTTGTTTCCATAGCAACCAAAATTTTTCAATATAGGAAGAAAATAAAAAGATCAAACCTGAAGGGGACTAATCACTGACTTGTTGATCTTTATGCCAAGCAGTGTAAGGTCAAGATTTCAACAGGATCAATAAATGCTTTTCCACAGAAGTTTGACCACACCCATCAATATACAATGTACTCTTACATAAGTTTAAGAGCACATTTGAGAATATCGGCATCGTAAGTTTGTAATGAAACAAGAGCTGTCACTGAAAAGTGACTTATGCCCCCGAAAGGAAGCTTTGACATAAAATTTGCAGTATATGCCAAAATACCGGTAATATATGCCCAACAGCCATAAATAATATCATCCTTAAATTTTATTTAATCCAGTAAAAGTGTATATATTAAAAGAGATATATTTTAAAAAAACTTTACTAAGATATTACCATTTTTAGCTCTGGAGCCATTCTGTACAGCTTAGCTGAAGGTGCCGGCGATATGCACAACAAGGGATGGTACGGGCCGGCTTCTGTAAAGTTTCATTTAAATCCAACTAGCAGTTTAACCTATGGAAGCCAGCAAAATTTTTCTATTTTTAGCTCTGGTGGCCATTTTGTGCAGCATACCGGAACTTGCCAGCGAAATGCACAACTAACAGATAGTACTGATTACTTCTGTGAATTTTCAGTGAAATCACACCAGCAGTTTGACCTGTGACTGCCAGTCGGACAATAATTTTCTATTTAAAGCTCTGGGGTCATTTTCTGCAGCCAAGTGGAATGTATGGGTGTTATGCACAATTAAGAATGATAAGAAGTTTCATTGAAATCCCGCAAGCTAACTTTGACCTGTGAAAGTCTGACAAAATTTGTCTAATTATAACTCTAGTGGCCATTTCGTGCAGCAGAGTACGACATGCTGGTGACATGCACAACTACGGATGGTACTGATCACTTCTGTGAAGTTTCATTGAAATCCAACCAGCAGTTTGACCTGTGAAATCCGGACAATATTTTTCCATTTAAAGCTCTGGTGGCCATTTGTGCAGACAAGCGGAACAAACTGTGGGCGATAATGCACAACTAGGGATTGTACAGATCACTCCTGTGACACCCCCCCCCACCCCACCCTGCGGTTTTGGAATTGAAGCACACAATAATCAAAACTAGGTATGATACTGATCACTCCTGTGAAGTTTCACTGAAATCCTCCCAGCGGTTTTGGACATGAAGCGCGGACAAGATTTTTTTACTGATAGCTTTGGAGGCTATTTTGGGCAGCTGAGCAGAACAAGCTGGCAATATGCACAAGTAGGGATGGTACTGATCACTCCTGTGAAGTATCACTGAATTCCCTCCAGTGATTTTGGAGATGAAATGCGGTCCAGATAACCAGATGGATGGACAGTGTGATTACTATATGCCACCCTAAAACCTACAAAGTTCTTCTTTTTTTAATTTGTGTGTGTGTATGTGTTTAATGCAGTGTTGCATCTAGGCCGTGCGATTTGCGCATTTTTTAGACAGATCGCGCATTTTATTGAAGTCAGTGCGCGCCGAGTCGCGCATCTGACAATCTTTTCAACTTAATTCAGTTTATCTTCATCATATCTTAACGCTTCAGCCATGTTTGTTTTCACTTGTGGTTATGACTAAAATACGTACTAAATCGCGTGTAGCAGCCGATTAAGTCATCTCGCGTGTGTTTTGTAGTATTCGTTAATATTTTATTTTTTCTAGTTTTTCTTGTCAAAAATGCCTGAATGTAAAATAAATGAACTCTATTCGGTATGTCATATTGTAAGGTCAATGTATGTCCCCCACATTTTTTTCAAATCCCCCACATTTTTCAATTGAGTGGGGGACAATCCCCCATAATTTTGAAATTCTAGATGCAACACTGTTAATGTTACACCAATGCAATAAAGGTCATATGGAAACTTTCTAGCTTTCTTGGCACAGGGAGCGCAAGCATTATTTCACTGACATATCGTATTAGAGCTAGCTGGATAGCTTCCTCACATGAAAAAATCCCAAGTCCCTGTCAGGATTCAAACCCACAGCAGTGAGGGGCAAGTGATTTTAGGTCAACAACCTTAACCAAATGGCAACGGATGCCCCATTTGAATAAACTTATTGACTTTTTTTTCCATAATAGCTGAGCAAATGAGTTGACTTTTGATTAACCCTTACCAATCTGAAATTTTATAATGAACCTTTCCTGCTTTGAGTTTGCTATCATTCATTGTATATATGAAGGAATTTAATGCACTGACAAGCTTAAATTAAGCAGCTATTAATTGAATAAAATCTGGCCAGATCTCAAAGACAAGGAGGTTACCTTTGCATGACTGTTTCTTCACAGAGTTTACAGCCAATTTAATATCATTGTTATTCTCTCCAAGCACCTGTATATGTTCTTTATCCAGAGCAAGAGAAGTCCATACATCTCCATAATGTTTCCCATACATCACCACATACCTCTTCTTCTTTTTCGTAGCTTCCTGAACCTTTGCTATATCGTTTATGTTTGTGTTTTCATTTGCTATAAAGAAAACTTGTTCTGATAACTTTGGGCTTTCATTTCGGTCAAAGAAATGAAACATTGCATCACTGACTGTTTTATAATTAACTTCATTGTTCATAGAAGTTTTCGAGAAAAGACTTGTAATGTTATGTAAATAACTTATATCTGCTGGTGTTTTCTTAAACTTTAACTCTGACTTCTTATTGCCAACAAATATCACAGATATATGTGATCCATCCGGGGTTGCTTTTATAAAGTCCACAACAAAACGTTTTTGTTGTAACCGGGATATATCAAATTTTTTGTCAACCGAAGTATTCGCAGACCAAATAATCAAAGCCTTAAATGGTGAACACAATGTCATGTTGCCGTCATCTACAATTGATAAAAAATACGATAAAAATAAATTTTGTAAATTATGCAATGACACCACATTGTTAAGCATGAACAAAAGTAGTTTATCATTAAAGTTTGCTTGTATACATCAACTTACAGTTATCAATGTAGAATAGAACTCACAGTAAATGTTTCAGGTATTGCTAAGGCATAATGGATGTACATTAGAGCTGTCCCAAAATTCTGAGACAAATTTTATAAACATATTATTTTCAAAACAAGTAAATTATAATTCACATATTGTAAATATAAATTTATTAATTTACATTACATAAATAATTTAAAGAATACATGTATGGTTATAAATTTATTTGAGATCAAATAGCAAAACTGCATGAAAGTGTGATTTGTTTTTATATTCCTTGTGAGAAGTGTAAGGATATTTTGTTTTTCTAACAGTTAATTATGAGAGGTACACTGGGTGAATGCAGTAGAAGGTGCAAATGTAAATAAACATTTGTATGGACACCTTATTGATAGAGTTATTATTAGACTTGAGTTTCTGAGAAACCAATGTGGCAATTACTTGAAAATCAAAATTGAAAAATCCCACAAATTGCTTTGTTCGTAATTTCAAATATGGTTCCAATCAAATGAATCATTTTTATATGCTTTGGACAAAGTTTTTCTCTTTTGTTTATTTATCATACATAATTTAAACATGTCACTTTAAGCTAACTGAGAACACGTAGGTAAGACAAAAGTCAAATTTTACTTACCTCTATCAGATACAATTATAGCTGTAAAGGTAAGTATCAGCCATGCGATTGTATATAATTTTGCCATTTTCCTAAAAGAGAACAATAAAAAATTTGTATTCATATGAATGATCAAAATACTTTTATTTTTCCTCATTTAGGTCAATTAAATGCAATGGTTGTGTTTGAATAGTTCAATATGCATGTTCTTTTGTTCAAGTTTAATCAATAGTGAAAAGAAAAAAGAACGTGCTTGCTAAACACAAATGCCCCTAGCTCTGATTCCTTCAGAAAAGAAGAATTTTTAAGTTTTTACTATAAGTAAAAAACGAAATTAATGACTCAACCCCCCCCCCAGCCCCCATCCTCGGACGAGACCAATTTTGACCCCACGGCTATAATTTGAGCAATCTTGGTAGAAGTCCACTACTCAATTATTTATGCCAAATTTCTGACCTCTTGCCATTGTCAATTCAGAGAACAAGATTTTTTATGTTTTTAATATAATATTATATACATATAAGGAAAACCTATAACCCCCAGGGCCAATTTTGATACTAGGGGCAAAATTTGAACAGCTTTGGTAGAGAACCTTTGGATGATATTATATACCAAATATCTAAGCTCTAAGCCTTGTACCTCAAGACAAGAGTATCTTTTAAGGTTTTACTATATGTGCATAATAAAAATCAATGACCGCTGGGGCAGGGCCAATTTCCACCCCAAGGCTATAATTTGAACAATCACAGTACAGGTCCACAACACAATGTTTCATGCCAAATATCTAGCATTTGTCAATTTAGAGAAGATTTTTTAAGCTTTTACTATATACATATAAGGAAAACCTATTACACCTCAGGATGGGGCCAATTTTGACACAATTTTGGTAGAGGACCTATAGATGATATTGTATACCAAATATAAAAACTCTTGTACCTTCAGACAAGAAGATTTTTTAAGTCTTTACTATCATGTACATAATGAAAATCAATGACCCCTGGGACAGCCCAGTTTTTGACCCCAGGGCTATAATTTGAACAATCTTGGTATAGGTCCACTACACATTGTTTCATGCCAAATTTCTAACCACTATTACCTTGGTCAATTCATTCATTTTTTTTAAGCTTGTAGTATATACATATGTATAAGGAAAGCATATGACCCCCTGGGGTCAGGCAAATTTGCACACTATTGCATACTACTTCAGACAAGTAGATTTGTTTAAGTTTTTACTATATGAATATAATGAAAATCAATGACCCCTGGGCCGGGCCTTTTTTGACTCCAGGGCTATAATTTGAACAATCTTGTTAGAGGTACACCAGGCAATACCTTACGCAAAATATTTAAGCTTTTAGGCTTTGTGGGTCTTAAGAAGAAGATTTATTTATTTTTTTCTTTCTTTTGGTTCCTGCACGGAATCAAATTTTTTGAACAACTTTGAAAACTCTTTCATTCATGGATCAATCCTGCCAAGTTTGGTTGAAGTTGGACTTACAATTTTTGAGGATAAAATGTTTTAAGTTCACTATATAATCTATAGAACACACAAATACACAAACACACACACATTATATGCCACCACACCACAGATGTTGTGTGGCATAAAAACACAAATGTCCATTTCAAGAATTTATGTCTGCTAGGGTGTGTGTTTTTTTTTAACTTGCATTTATTGGAATACCCTACGTTTTTGCAGAGGTTGAGGTCTGGCAACTGAATTTGAGCAAATCAAAGTTATGGGACTTGTGCCAATCAATGAGATAATCACAGAGAATAAGTGTGTGAATTTTCAATCCATTCCCTTCAGCAGTTATGGAGATACCAGCTTACACGCAAAAACTTAAATTGGGTCAATTTTGACCCAAGGGCTTATATTTGAACAATCTTGGTAGACATCCAATAGATGATGTTTCATGCTAAATATTTAAGCTCAAACTCTTTGGGTTTTTAAAAAGAAGATTTTTTTTTGTTTTTACTATATACATATATAGAAAATAAATGACCCCCTGGGGTAAAGAGCCAGTTTTAACCCCAAGACTTTTATTTAAACAAACTTGGTAGACATCCATTAGAAGATGTTCTTGCTTAATATCTAAGCTCTACCTCTTTGGGTTTTTTAAATGAAGATTTTGTAAGTTTTTACTATAGACATACAAGTAAAATCAATGACCACCTGGGGCCAGGCCAATTTTAACCCTGGGGCTTTTATTTGAACAAATTTTGTAGACACACACTAGAAGATATTTCATGCTAAATACATGTATCTAAGCTCTAAAATGCTCTTTGGGTTTTTAAAAAAGAAGATTAATAAGATTTTACTATATATATAGAGAGAGAAAATCAATGACCCCCAGGGGCTGGGCTAATTTTGACCCCAGGGCTTTTATTTGAACAAACTTGGTAGACACTCACTGCCAAATATCAAAGCTCTAGCTCTTCAGGTTCTTTAAAAGAAGATATTTTAAGTTTTTTTTCTTTTAGTTGCCATGGCAACCAGAGTTCTGCATGGAACAAGCAAATTCGTTGAATTTATATCCCCCGCCGAGTACTGGTTACTGTAACCCAATTTATATTCGCGAATACAAATTTTCGCGTTTTGCCAAGGTAGGACATATTAGCGAATATTAATTTCCGCGTTTTCTTGATTTCCGAAAAAAAAAATTTGCGGATTTAAAAGTCCGATGGGGCCGTAAAATCCATTAGCCGACTATTAATCTTCAATAATTGAGGTCATTATTGGTGTCTTAAATGGGATTTACAATACGCTAGCCTTATATTGTATTGATAAGTGAATTGTGATCACAATTCAGCAAAACATTTTCTCTATATATCTACATGTACGCATCGTCTTCATTTTCTAAACATGTCGTTAAAATAGTAGTAGTTTACTTAGTTTGTGTTTTTATTGCTTTATGACAATATTCATAACAATTCATTACTTCCTAACAGGCGCCCGTAAAATTCGAATATATCCGCATGAACAACGTCTAAAATAACAAGAGCCACCGCCGGGCGGGGGCAACGCTCGACTTTTTACTTTTTCTAAACGCAAACATAGAAAGGTTTGAACATATATTGATGTTTCCTTTTTATAAATTTAGTTGGTCTGTCTTGTCACATTAGTTTTGTTTATATATTTTGTATATATATGAATAGAAACATAAAGCATATTTCTAAAAATAGCAACAGTACGCAATTTCTAAAAATAGCAACAATGACGCAATTTCTAAAAATAGCAACAATGACGCAATTTCTAAAAATAGAAAAAATGACGCAATTTCTAAAAATAGAAAAAAATGACGCAATTTCTAAAAATAGAAACAATGACGCAATTTCTAAATATAGAAAAAAAATGACGCAATTTCTAAAAATAGAAACAATGACGCAATTTCTAAAAATAGAAAAAAATGACGCAATTACTAAAAATAGCAACAATGACGCAATTTCTAAAAATAGAAAAAAATGACGCAATTTCTAAAAATAGAAAAAAATGACGCAATTACTAAAAATAGCAACAATGACGCAATTTCTAAAAATAGAAAAAATGACGCAATTTCTAAAAATAGAACAAAAATGACGCAATTTCTAAAAATAGCAACAATGACACAATTTCTAAAAATAGAAAAAATGACGCAATTTCTAAAAATAGGAAAAAATGACGCAAATTCTAAAAAATAGCAACAATGACGCAATTTCTAAAAATAGAAAAACATGACGCAATTTCTAAAAACAGAAAAAAATGAAGCAATTTCTAAAAATAGAAAAAAAATGACGCAATTTCTAAAAATAGAAAAACATGACGCAATTTCTAAAAATAGAAAAACATGACGCAATTTCTAAAAATAGAAAAAAAAATGACGCAATTTCTAAAAATAGAAAAACATGACGCAATTTCTAAAAATAAAAACAATGACGCAATTTCTAAAAATAGAACAAAAATGACGAAATTTCTAAAAATAGAAAAAAATGACGCAATTTCTAAAAATAGCAACAATGATGCAATTTCTAAAAATAGAAAAAAAAATGATGCAAAATTCTAAAAATAGCAACAATGACGCAATTTCTAAAAATAGAAAAAATGACGCAATTTCTAAAAATAGAAAAACATGACGCAATTATATACATGTATATATATGTATATATATATATATATATATATATATATATATATATATATATATATATATTTGATATATATATACCTGCATATATGTATATATATACACACACACATTTATATATATATTTATATATAATACATATACTATACATACACACACACCGATAAATGCACAATCTTCAGTAATATAACCTTCAAGGTCAAGGTCATTAAAGAGCCCAAGCAAATTTGGGTTTGATAAACAACAAGGTCTGGTCCTTAAGAATGTTCTGTTATAATATGAAGTTTATCCCTTCAAAAATAGCAAAGTTACAGTCAGTTACTGCCAAAACAATGAAAATTTCAATAATTTGACCTTCAAAGGCAATGTCATTAATGAGTGAAGGTCAAAGTCTTTCGGTATATTTTTAACAGTTATCTTTGAAGATTATTATGTTCAAGTTTGAAGACAATCCATTCAAAAAATAACAAAGTTACAGCCAATAATAGCCAAAAAAATGAAAATTTCAATAATTTGACCTTCAAAGTCAAGGTCATTGATGAGTGAATGTCAAGGTCTGACTGGTTATTTTTAAGGGATATCCTTGAAGATTATTATGTTCAAGTTTGAAGACAATCCATTCAAAAATAACAAAGTAACAGCCAATAACAGCATGAACAAGCAAAAATTGGACTTTTAACCTTGAAGGTCAAGGTCATTTATGGATGAAGGTCAAGGTTAGTGTGGTCTACTGAAAGGTCTTGTCCCAAGGGTTGTTGTGGCCAAGTATGAAGACAATACACCAAGAAATAAAAAAGTTATGATCCAGGTACAAGTTTTCGGACGGCAACGGCAACGGCAACGGCAACGGAGACGGCAACGGCAACGGCAACGGCAACGGCAACGCCGACCTGACTATAACAATACCTCTACTTTTTTTTTCAAAAAAAAAAAAGTCGAGCTAAAAATGTCTCTCCAATTTATTCGCGAAATCGTCCTGACTAATTCGCGCAAACAAATATTCGCACTTCGTGGCCATCCGCAAATAAAGCGAACATTAATTGGTCACGAATATTCGTTGGGTTACAGTATTATTAACACAACAACTGAAGACATAAGGCTTTATTTATATATTAATCATGGCATAAACAGTAATATTCTTTGAACTTGATAAATATTCAGGGCAATAAAAGAGCCATAACTTTGTGTTAAATAGTAATATCTGGAAATGCCAATGAGATGTATGCAAACTACATAACTAATCAAGGGCCATAAATCTGAGTTATAAGTATCTGACCGGAACAAGGTGACTATATGCACATCTCCTCTTAGTATCCCATAATGTTTCATTGAATTCCAGCCAGTAGTTACAGAGAAGTAGCACGGAAACGATTATTGCTCTGGTTGTATACTGCCTAAGTTATCAAGGGTCATAACTCTAAGTTAAAATGTCTGACCCGAACAAGGCGACAATATGCGCATGTCCTCTTCGTATTGAAGGTTCAAATAAAGTGTCATTGAATTCCAGCCAGTAGTTGCAGAGAAGTAATGAGAAAACGAATATTTTTCTATATGGATACTGCATAACTAATCAAGGGTCATAACTCTGAGTTAAAGTGTCTGACCCCAACAAGGCAATGATATGCGCATCTTCTCTTGGTATTGAAGGTTCCCATAAAGTTTCATTGAATTCCAGCCAGTAGTTGCAGAGAAGTAGCGCAGTAACGATTTTTTCTCTATATGCATACTGCATATCTAATCAAGGGCCATAACTCTGAGTTTAAAGGGTCTGACCGGAACAAGCCGACGATATGCGCATCTACTCTTGATATTGATGATTCCCATAAAGTTTCGTTGAATTCCAGCCAGTAGTTGCAGAGAACTACTCCGGAAACGAAATTCGGACGGACAACGCCAAAACTATATCCCCCTCCCCATTCCATCGGCGGGGGATAATTAAATTCCTTGACAATTTTTAAAGATGACCACACAGTAGAAAATCTATTTGGCATGCACCATGTTCATATAGGTTTATGTGTAAAGTCAAAATCAAAGAGACAAAGCATTTGTCAGGGCCTTCACAGCATTGTAGACATCACAATGTGGGACTCCTAGGGAAACGAAAATCACCAAGTGACAGTGCAAAAACCAAATTTTCTGACTACTTGATCTTGCTTGCTCAGATTTAAAATGGTAACAATTTAACCAGAAAACCTAGATTTTACATACACTTGCCCCTAAAAATGAATTCCAGCAAAAAATTTCCCTCCATGCAAGGATTTCACATCATTCGAAACACTTCGGATGGCCATATTTCACACATAGTCAGCTGAAATTCATTAAATGCATGCCTTTTTCCTAATTAAAGTCATAAAAAGCAGGAAAATATCATCTTATTTAACCTTCATAGCTCTATATGTGAAAATTAGCATTCTTCAATAGCTGTATCTCCTAGAATAAGTAGGCATTATCACTTGAAGCACCACAGCAGAACACAGCACCTTTAATACATTTCACAAAGAATTTTCTGGTATTTTGAGTTACCTCCCCTTTTTATAGCTGACTTTCTGGCACTGTGTTTTATTATTTTTATGAAATTCCATTCATCACTGTAGTCAGTGTGTATTATAGAGCATTTACACAAAGTTCAATGAGAAAAAACAAGCATTGAAAAAATTTCATTTTACCTTAAGGTAGCACTCCACACTTAATTTCAAGTTTCTGCCGTCAATGTCCTACAAGCAATATGTCTGATAAATCTGATCCCAAACTACACAACCTGGAAAAAGAAAACACATTTTGTTAAGAACATATATGTCATAACATTGCAAATCTATAATGAAATCATCCCATGTGCAACAGTCAGGCAGTTAAAAAAATTCCAATTCATTCCGTAAAAGCCAAAAATCTAGTGGTCCGAGACCCAAAACAACATATTTCGTCCCTCTGGCAAAAAATACCTGCAAATATACAGGCTGCAGAAACTCTGTCACTGCTTTAGCAATTCCCTATACATGCAAAATATCACTTTACAGACAACCAGTCATTTAAATCCACAATAGTCACTATATCCATGAAGTTCTCCCTCGCCATTCAAAGCTGTGGCTTTAATTAGTGTGATGTGCTGCCTTAAGGAGCACCTTGACAATGATTGCTAAACTTTATACAGACTTTTTCTTCAAATTTATGCATATTTCAATAAATAAAATGATTTTATTTTGCTAGGAATTGTTTGCTTTTCTTTATATGTGCCTTTAATGAACTATACCGTTTGCCCCATTTTCAGCCCTTGGCACGCTTTTTTTAGTACATGTAGAAAAAGAAAGAATTCCCGATGTAAGGTGTACACAAACTGGGTTTATACTATATATACAACTGATTTGCACAAATATATTCTTATGCCATATGATATGGAAGAAATATTCAACAAATTGCCATACAGTTTAAGAATAAACTGGCTTCATGTGACACTATGGGGCACAAAATACATCAGAATGATATGTTCCTGCCAGACACTAATATATGCTATGTTTTTTTCAGTCCTACACAGTAGAAAATCTATTTGGCATGCACAATGTTCATATAGATTAATGTGTAAAGTCAAGATCAAAGAGACAAAGCATTTGTCAGGGCCTTCACAGCATTGTAGACATCACAATGTGGGACTCCTAGGGAATCAAAATTCACCAAGCGACAGTGCAAAAACCAAATTTTCTGACTACTCGATCTTGCTCGCTCAGCTTTAAAATGGTCACAATTTAACCAGAAAACCTAGATTTTACATACACTTGCCCCTAAAAATGAATTCCAGCAAAAAATTTCCCTCCATGCAAGGATTTCACATCATTCGAAACACTTCGGATGGCCATATTTCACACATAGTCAGCTGAAATTCATTAAATGCATGCCTTTTTCCTAATTAAAGTCATAAAAAGCAGGAAAATATCATCTAACTTAACCTTCATAGCTCTATATGTGAAAATTAGCATTCTTCAATAGCTGTATCTCCTAGAATCATAAAGTAGGCATTATCACTTGAAGCACACAGCAGACACAGCACCTTTAATACATTTCACAAAGAATTTCTGGTATTTGAGTTACCTCCCCTTTTTATAGCTGACTTTCTGGCACTGTGTTTAATATTTTTATGAAATTCCATCATCACTGTAGTCAGTGTGTATTATAGAGCATTTACACAAAGTTTAATGAGAAAAAACAAGCATTGAAAAAATTTTATTTTACCTTAAGGTAGCACTCCACACTAAATTTCAAGTTTCTGCCGTCAATGTCCTACAAGCAATATGTCTGATAAATCTGATCCCAAACTACACAACCTGGAAAAAGAAAACACATTTTGTTAAGAACATATATGTCATAACATTGCAAATCTATAATGAAATCATCCCATGTGCAACAGTCAGGCAGTTAAAAAAATTCCAATTAATTCCGTAAAAGCCAAAAATCTAGTGGTCCGAGACCCAAAACAACATATTTCGTCCCTCTGGCAAAAAATACCAGCAAATATACAGGCTGCAGAAACTCTGTCACTGCTTTAGCAATTCCCTATACATGCAAAATATCACAAAGAAATAGGTGCTTGGCCTTGTAGATTTTTTGCTATTGCTGAAAGTTTGTACCCCCCTGTAAAATTACTTGTTTTCACCGAGCATGCTGTTTAAAAGCAATGTTTACAAACAAAATGGCGGCCTTGACATCTATAATTAACAGCATGTGATTTCTAACCATGTTTTCGAATTTGCCATATCACAAAAACAAATTTCAGGCTGAAAATGCACTTTACAGACAACCAGTCATTTAAATCCACAATAGTCACTATATCCATGAAATTCTCCCTGGCCATTCAAAGCTGTGGCTTTAATTAGTGTGATGTGCTGCCTTAAGGAGCACCTTGACATTGATTGCTAAACTTTATACAGACTTTTTCTGCAAATTTATGCATATTTCAATAAATAAAATGATTTTATTTTGCTAGGAATTGTTTGCTTTTCTTTATATGTGCCTTTAATGAACTATACCCTTTGCCCCATTTTCAGCCCTTGGCACGCTTTTTTTAGTACATGTAGAACTAGAAATGTGTCCATAGGACACGGGTGCCCCCACCGCGCCACTGTTCTGTCAATCTTTTTACTAATTCAAGGGAAATAACTCTGCAAATACTGGATAAATCCACAAGCAAAACCCCAGGTGCAAATCTAAAATATGCTGAGCAACCTGCCCATAAGGTTTAATGACTATGTCAAATCCTTTTTGAGAAACTTGCGACACAAGTTGAAAATTGCAAAAAAAATTTAAAAGTGAAGGGCAATAACTCTAAAAAATACTAAATAAATCCAGACGAAAAATACCTGGTGCACAACTGCACATGCTGATCAATATTCCTGTAAAGTTACATGACTGTAGGTCAAATACTTTTGAGTTACGTGCGACACATGTTGAAAATTGCCAAATTTTACTAACTCAAGGGCAATAAGTCTGAAAATACTAAAAATATCCAGAAGGAAATACCCAGGTGCACAACTACACATGCTGATCAACATTCCTGTAAAGTTTCATGACTCTAGGTGAAAAACTTTTTGAGTTACGTGCGACACAAGTTGAAAATTGCAAAATTTTACTAAGTCAAGGGCAATAACTCTGAAAATACTAAAAATATCCAGACGAAAATACTCAGGTGCACAACTACACATGCTGATCAACATTCCTGTAAAGTTTCATGACTCTAGGTCAAATACTTTTTGAGTTACATGCGACACAAGTTGAAAATTGCAAAATTTTACTAAGTCAAGGGCAATAACTCTAAAAATACTAAAAATATCCAGACGAAAATACCCAGGTGCACAACTACACATGCTGATCAACATTTGTGTAAAGTTTCATGACTCTAGGTCAAATACTTTTTGAGTTACATGCGACACAAGTTGAAAATTGCAAAATTTAACTAAGTCAAGGGCACTAACTCTGAAAATACTAAAAATATCCAGACGAAAATACCCAGGTGCACAACTGCACATGCTGATCAACATTCCTATAAAGTTTCATGACTCTAGGTCAAATACTTTTTGAGTTACGTGCAACACAAAAGTGAACGGACGGACGGACGGAAGGACGGACGGACAGACGGACAAGGGTAAATCTAAATGCCCGCCACTAACATGGGGGCACAAAAAGAAATAATTCCCAATGTAAGGTGTACACAAACTGCGTTTATACTATCTATACAACTGATTTGCACAAATATATCCTTATGCCATATGATATTGAAGAAATATTCAACAAATTGCCATACAGTTTAAGAATAAACTGGCTTCATGTGACACTATGGGGCACAAAATACATCAGAATGATATGTTCCTGCCAGACACTAATATATGCTATGTTTTTTTCAGTCCTACACAGTAGAAAATCTATTTGGCATGCACAATGTTCATATAGGTTTATGTGTAAAGTCAAAATCAAAGAGACAAAGCATTTGTCAGGGCCTTCACAGCATTGTAGACATCACAATGTGGGACTCCTAGGGAATCGAAATTCACCAAGTGGCAGTGCAAAAACCAAATTTTCTGACTACTCGATCTTGCTCGCCCAGCCTTAAAATGGTCACAATCTAACCAGAAAACCTAGATTTTACATACACTTGCCACTAAAAATGAATTCCAGCAAAAAATTTCCCTCCATGCAAGGATTTCACATCATTCGAAACACTTCAGATGGCCATATTTCACACATACAGCTGAAATTCATTTAAATGCATGCCTTTTTCCTAATTAAAAGTCATAACAAGAAGCGCCGCAATGCGACGAAAACCAGGTTTTCAACGACCTAGTTTTGATGTGACAGCAATCAATAGGTCAAAATGCACTGAAGTTATTGAGTAGATACTGAAAATTCTATTGTAAGCAAATTACCTTGACCTTGCTCCCAGATATCTGAGTGGCAATCCAAAGCTGCCACTCAGCAAGTTCGGTGTCAAAAGGTCAAAGCAAACTCAAGTTATAACATGAAAACTAAATGCATTAACCTTGATCACAGACACTTGGGTAGCAATCCCAAGCTGCCTCTTGATATAAAGCTACCCATTCATCAAGTTTGGTGTCAATAGGCCAAAGCAAACTCAAGTTATTGAGCAGAAACTGAATTTCTATTTTTAGTCACAGTGACCTTGACCTTGATCAAAGACACCTGGGTAGCAATCCCAAGCTGCCTCTTGATATAACCTATCCATACACCAAGTTTGGTGTCAATAGGCCAAAGCAATCTCAAGTTATTGAGCGGAAACTGAATTTCTATTTTTAGTAAAAAGTGACCTTGACCTTGATCACAGACACCTGGGTAGCAATCCCAAGCTGCCTCTTGATATAAGCTATCCATACACCAAGTTTGGATGTCAATAGGTCAAAGCAAACTCAAGTTATTGAGCGGAAACTGAATTTCTATTTTTAGTAACAGTGACCTTGACCTAGATCACAGACACCTGGGTAGCAATCCCAAGCTGCCTCTTGATATAAGCTATCCATACACCAAGTTTGGTGTGAATAGGCCAAAGCAAACTCAAGTTATTGAGCGGAAACTGAATTTCTATTTTTAGTAACAGTGACCTTGACCTAGATCACAGACACCTGGGTAGCAATCCCAAGCTGCCTCTTGATATAAGCTATCCATACACCAAGTTTGGTGTCAATAGGCCAAAGCAAACTCAAGTTATTGAGCGGAAACTGAATTTCTATTTTTAGTAACAGTGACCTTGACCTAGATCACAGACACCTGGGTAGCAATCCCAAGCTGCCTCTTGATATAAGCTATCCATACACCAAGTTTGGTGTCAATAGGTCAAAGCAAACTCAAGTTATTGAGCGGAAACTGAATTTCTATTTTTAGTAACAGTGACCTTGACCTAGATCACAGACACCTGGGTAGCAATCCCAAGCTGCCTCTTGATATAAGCTATCCATACACCAAGTTTGGTGTGAATAGGCCAAAGCAAACTCAAGTTATTGAGCGGAAACTGAATTTCTATTTTTAGTAACAGTGACCTTGACCTAGATCACAGACACCTGGGTAGCAATCCCAAGCTGCCTCTTGATATAACCTATCCATACACCAAGTTTGGTGTCAATAGGCCAAAGCAAACTCAAGTTTTTGAGCGGAAACTGAATTTCTATTTTTAGTAACAGTGACCTTGACCTTGATCACAGACACCTGGGTAGCAATCCCAAGCTGCCTCTTGATATAAGCTATCCATACACCAAGTTTGGTGTCAATAGGCCAAAGCAAACTCAAGTTATTGAGCAAAAACTGAATTTCTATTTTTAGTAACAGTGACCTTGACCTAGATCACAGACACCTGGGTAGCAATCCCAAGCTGCCTCTTGATATAACCTATCCATACACCAAGTTTGGTGTCAATAGGCCAAAGCAAACTCACGTTATTGAGCGGAAACTGAATTTCTTTTTTTAGTAACAGTGACCTTGACCTTGATCACAGACACCTGGGTAGCAATCCCAAGCTGCCTCTTGATATAACCTATCCATACACCAAGTTTGGTGTGAATAGGCCAAAGCAAACTCAAGTTTTTGAGCGGAAACTAAATATCTATTTTTAGTAACAGTGACCTTGACCTTGATCACAGACACCTGGGTAGCAATCCCAAGCTGCCTCTTGATATAAGCTATCCATACACCAAGTTTGGTGTCAATAGGTCAAAGCAAAGTCAAGTTATTGAGCGGAAACTGAATTTCTATTTTTAGTAACAGTGACCTTGACCTTGATCACAGACACCTGGGTAGCAATCACAAGCTGCCTCTTGATATAAGCTACCTACACACCAAGTTTGGTGTCAATAGGACAAAGCAAACTAAAGTTATTGAGCAGAAACCAAAAGTTGACCGCCCCCCCGCCCGGGCCTTGGGCCCCCCCCCCCCGCCGGGCTTCGGCAAATTTCAAAAAACCCCGGTTTTTTTGTTGAAAACCCGGTTAATAATTAGAAACAGATTGCTAGATTGTATTCCTCAGAGCTGGCATGATAATGTAAATTTGTTATCAACTTAGAATGATTTACCTCTTCGAAAGTTAGCTACATATGTCTTTCATCTTATGCATTGTATAAAATGTAAGCAGATAATGAAATATAAATAGTACTATTATATTGACATGACCATTTATAAATGTTTGATATATATTTTGGATCAAAGGCCTTTAACTATCAAATAAATAGTTGAGAATGAGTTGTAAAGAAAGATAACTCAATCATCATTTAATACATTTAGAGCTAATTTATGTCCCTTACAACTTTAAATACACCAATAAATCAGTTACGGTTGTACCTAGGAATTTTATTTCCTGCGACCTCCTTCGATAACAAATGAAAGAAAGTTACAGTGCATACCATGAACATTGCTGTAGAGAATAATTGTAAATTGCTGTAGAGAATAATTGTAAATAACATAACTAAAGTAATCACGCTACAAAAAGAGATACTTAAGATCAATAAGGCATGCCGAAGTTCACAAAACAGAACGTCACCTCCAACATAAACGGAACTAAAATGGTACAGGGTACAAGGGTGGAGTGAGGAGGTGACGCAAATGCCAATGTAACAAACTTTTTGCTAGCCTGATATATTTCTCAAATCAAGGAATCCGATGAACTTGCTGGCACCGCTTGAACCTAGAACGGTTGGGGCAAGTGATTTCAATTTGACAACATTAAACACTCGGCCATGGACAACAATCTGTCATTTGAACAAGATGAGCTATTGTGTAACAAAAGAAAAATTATGCCATAAGAGATTGATGTGATAATCTGCTATAATCGTCAGACCATTATCACTGGACCAAGTAGGATTTTACTGATAACTGCTCTTTCTAGATGTATAGTTTAGAGATAAAGTATAGTGAACAAATAATTATAAAATAGAGAACAACAGAATGCCTAGAGAAAGCCCAACACGGCAAGATTGAAAATGTTGCAAGTTCGGTTTGATTTAGCCTGTTCATGGACGGTACTTGAAAGTACAAATTACCGTTCACGCCGCCCCCCCCCCCCCCCGCTAGGATCAGTATTCACAAAAGAATCAACATTTAAACACAAAAAATGGTGGAATATTTGAAATTGGAAAGATCCGTAGATGTGTTCATACGGCGGTTGTCATGGAATTTTCAATGTGTCACACTAGTGTCATTTCAATGAAAATGTAATAAACAAGATCAACAAGGAAGGTGGCGCGAAACTAAAGAATAGATAAATACAGAATCCCATAAGAAAGCCCAACACGGCAAAATTGAAAATGTTTGAGGCTAGATTTGATGGACGGTACTGGAAAGTGCATGTTACCGTCCCCGCCCCCTAGCACCGGCTTAAGCAGAATTCAATATTTAAACATGAAATAGTAAAATTTTGAATTTAAAAACATCAGCAGATGTGTTCAAAACTGGAACCACACTACTTGAAAAATTCCAAAATAGAAGAAATAAAAAATATCACATTACATGTGTACACAACAACAATAACAATATGCGATACGATCTTCAAGGATCGAAAATATAACATAATTATTTGATAAATTGTACTGGGCACAAATAACACTGATATGATAATAACAAAGAGAAAAACACAATCCCTTAAGAAAATATTAAAATATTAATATTAAAATTTTAAAACGTCCGCAGATGTGTTCATATGGCAGTTAAAATGGAACCTTTAATAGAGTGAAACAAGAATCCCTAAAGAAAGCCCAGCGCGGCAAAATTGAAAATGTTGCAGGCTCGGTTTGATTGAGCCTGTTCATGAACGGTACTGTCAAGTGCAAAATACAGTCCACGCCCTCTAGCACCGGCTAAGCAGAATTCCACATTTACCATGACCTGGCTAAATTTTGAATTTTGAAACATCCGCAGATGTGTTCATATGTATCACGATAGTGCCATTTATGATAAGCGACACATGGTCCCCAAGTAAAGATGCGCGTGCCTTTAGGATGAAATAGATAAATACAGAATCCCTAAAGACAGCCCAACACGGCAAAATTGAAAATGTTGCAGGCTCGGTTTGATTGAGCCTGTTCATGGACGGTACTGGAAAGTGCAAGTTACCGTCCACGCCCCCTAGCACCGGCTTAAGCAGAATTCAACATTTAAACATGAAATAGTAAAATTTTGAATTTAGAAACATCCGCAGATGTGTTCATACGGCTGTTATCATGGAACCTTCAATGTGACACTTCTGTGCCATTCTATGAAAAGCGGCGTATGGTCCCCAGAAGGCGCCTTTCCTTGTTGATCTTGTTTATCATATTTTAGCAGAAAACAGTGGGCGGAACTAAATAAAATAGAAATTAAAAGGGGGTCAGATGTAATGTAGCCTGAATATAGCAGATAAGACGTCGATAGACAAGTTAAAAAGCAGGTTATATATCCTTAGGCCGCTATTCCATTTATACGTGATCAGTGTCCGCGTCAGTGATCCGTGTCCGGGCATGTCCGTGGGTATTATTCCATAGGTACGTTATTTTCTATAAACTTTTAATTGAAGTATAGCGAACAGAGGATAATTATTTGTAGAATATGATATAATTTCATTCTAATACCAAAAACAGTTGTAACATCAAAGAATTAGGTAACAAACATTGAATATCAGTTAGGTTTTCAAATAACATCTCTTTAGCAACCGATGACCAGATGTTGTTTTTTTTTTAATCTGTCATTGCTGCATCATAAACTTATATGTTCTCCTACACTATTTTGGTGACTTCTTTAGTATTTTCTTTCGAAATCGATAAAGTATTTTAATTTCGTTCGAGGCATTTTGTAGGGATGAGACATGTCAGTGATTGTCCGCGTCCGTAAAAAATCGCTCATCCTGCGAAACGTCGCGGATGCCGTCGCGGAAGCGGATGGTAAACGGACAAAAGGAATAGATTCAACGTATTCTTTGATTAGCGAATCGGTAACGGATGCGGATGACGGACGCGGACCACTGATCACGTATAAATGGAATAGCGGCCTTAGAGTGATTATACAGTACGTTAGTCGGAAACCTAGAACTACACAGCTTGAAAAATGTCAAATAGATAAAGCTAAACTACCACATAACTTGTATACACAACAATAATGTCGTGCAGAGTAATCTTCAAGGATAAAGAATATAACATCTTTGATTATATGTATGGGGTGACATGTTACGGCCTCTACACGGCACAAATAACGATGATGTGGCAATAAAATAGAGAAAAACGGAATCCCCAAAGAACGTCGCAAGCAACAGAATTGAAAAGGTTGCGTCCTGTGAACGTTGCCTTTGCCTTGTTATTTTATTTAGTGATTTTCATGTCCGTGCTTTGTCTTTGCCCTGTCCTGTTTTTGTTTGGGGTCCGCCTGGGCTCCTTGCCACTGGTTCTTGTTGCCGGGTCATTGGGAGTTGCGTTCATTGAACGCCGCCTTTCCTTGTTGATCTTGTTTATCATATTGAATTATAAACAATAACAGTCATTTTCAACAGACACGAAGTTCTTAGAAATCATATAAAGATATATCTATAAATCAAATAGGTTATTAATAAACCGTGAAAAAACTAAAAATGTGTCCATATGACACGGGTGCCCCCACCGCGCCACTGTTCTGTCAATCTTTTTACTAAGTCAAGGGAAATAACTCTACAAATACTGGATAAATCCACAAGCGAAACCCCAGGTGCAAATCTAAAATATGCTGAGCAACCTGCCCATAAGGTTTAATGACTATGTCAAATCCTTTTTGAGAAACTTGCGACACAAGTTGAAAATTGCAAAAAATTTCTAAGTGAAAGGCAATAACTCTAAAAATACTAAATAAATCCAGACGAAAATACCTGGTGCACAACTGCACATGCTGATCAATATTCCTGTAAAGTTACATGACTCTTGGTCAAATACTTTTTGAGTTACGTGGCGACACATGTTGAAAATTGGCAAATTTTACTAAGTCAAGGGCAATAACTCTGAAAATACTAATAATAAATCCAGACGAAAATACCCCAGGTGCACAACTAACACATGCTGATCAACATTCCTGTAAAGTTTCATGACTCTGACCAAATACTTTTTGAGTTACATGCGACACAAGTTGAAAAATTGCAAAATTTTTACTAAGTCAAAGGGCAATAACTCTGAAAATACTAAAACTATCCAGACGAAAATACCCAGGTGCACAACTTCACATGCTGATCAACATTCCTGTAAACTTTCATGACTCTAGGTCAAATACATTTTGAGTTACGTGCGACACAAAAGTGAACGGACGGAAGGACGGACAGATGGACGGACAGACAAGGGTAAATCTAAATGCACGTCACTAACGTGGGGGCACAATAAACGTTCGTACAATCCAAAGTACTTTCAGTGTATAATGCCTTCATCATGGGTATATTATATGCATAATGTGCACGCAATAGAGCACAACATCTATACCTCCTCTTTTGCAGTGTAGCAATACCACGTGACATTGACGTCATTTTCGGCATCATTTCCAAGACAAATGTTGCTCGATTCGGAAAAGAAAACAGCCGTAAATATTTTATTTCTGTACCAATTTCTTTGGGATATGCACCAGTCTACGGGAAAAAAATATAAGCTTTCCACAGAATATTGGATCTTCGTTAGTTTATAAGCCGTTTTATCAAAACTTTGCATAACCTTTGAAGTGCTTGTATTAGAGCGGGCTTCAGTTGCAAGCTATTTAGTATTCTGACATTATTTGGTTTACGCCATTATTAATAGGTCAGGTTTACATCAAACCGGGGTACAGACAGCAAAATCCTACCTTAATATGTTTATATGTTTATTATTTATGGCGTAAATCTTGCCTTTTTCTTCAATTGTCATTT